TTTGAGAAATTTAAAAAACCTACTTTTTAACGTTGCTCCGCTCTGGCAAGAATTCCCGAAATTCAAAATTTTTTTTGAACAATTGTGTATATAACTTTTACCATCTTTTTTTGTGCCTCTTCCTTTCCCCTTTCCTCCCATTTTCTCCCTTTCGTAATATAAACATTTTTCGGTCCGCTCGTTTATTTCATTTTGTTTTGTTTTTTTTTCGTCCCCCCCACTTTGCCTCGTCACAAGAAGCAACCGTTTTCTTCTTTGCCTATTTTTTAATTATTTTTCAAACAACTCTTTCTTACACGAAAAGTACTGTACTGTATGCTATATTTGACCAGACGAGACCAGTCAAAACTCAAGTGACCACTATTATTTGAAAATATAATATAATAAATATCATAAAATACTGTGCAAACTGAAAAATCCAATAAAATTTTCGAGCGAAATGTTTACCCAGCCCCAAAAATAAATTTCATTTTAGGCTTCATTTTTTTGCACCTAGCTTTTTGTATGAAAAATCTTGCGCGCTCACTTTAGCTGACGTAGCTCAGGTGGGCACACGAGAGTTCTCCAATTTCAAGGTGAAAGGTTCGAGCCCCCATGAGAACTAGAGTTTTTTTGTCAATATCTCAAGATAACATGATGTATACAAGTTGTCAAACACACATAAACATCTCCTGAACCTAAGCCATCAATCATAAATAAGCAAACCCTAGTTTTATAAGGTCCCTAAGGGAACATCACAAGCTCAGGTGCCACAACCCATCAAAACCACATAATCCATCATTTTCTTCGACTCCTAAGAGGCTTCCTTCGTTTTTATTTTCGCCTCAAACTCAACTTTGGATAAAACTTTTTGATAAGAAAATAAAAATGTGTAATAAATACAGTATGTCTGTGCCTCTTCTCTCATCTTTTTTTCGTTTTTCTCTCTCAAAAAAAAATAATTTATTTAGGTTTCTTTTTTTTCCTTCTAAAAAAGGGTTTTTGTTGCTCCCCGGAGGAAGTTTTCGCGTTTTAGAAACAAAAGGGTTTTTATTTATTATCGTCTCTCAATAGTTTTTTTTTCCCGCTTGGCGCGAGTTTTTGAAATTATTTATTGTGATTTTTTGCAGGGTCCGAGCAATACGAAGTTTTGGTGTAAAAAAAAGAAGAAGCAGGAGATTTTTGTTTTTGGGATTTTTGAGGTGAGTATTTTGGGGTGGGATTTTTTGGAACATGTGAAACCTAGGAACTTTTCTGATATTTCAATTTTTAAGTTCTTGGAGACCCAAACTCAATATTCTGGTTTTTCAAGATTGTAATTTAGGCTCCTAACTTTGATCTTGATTTTTTAGAACGTTTTTTTTTCGAATCTTGAAGCTCTTGGAGTTCAGGCTTGATAATTAGAATGTCCGCTTGAACTAAACTTGAAAGCCTATATTTTTCTGAAAAATAATGTTACCTTCTGGATCTTCTAGGTTGAAATTCAAGCCAAATTTTTTTTAGATCAGACATAAAAAGTTATATACTGGCTTGAAATTTTCTGATCTACGTTTTTTGAATTGATCCCTGACCATTGAAGATGAGAGTCCGAAATTGAGTTCCAAAATTTCTGGACAAGGCTTTGACCATTTATTTTTGCCTTTTGCCATTTTGGAAATCTCTATCTACAGTTTCTAAACCCTCCAAATATTCCCCTGCAAAAGCCAACAAGCAAACACTAATAATATGCAAAACAAAACAGTAATAAAATTCCCATAATTAGCAAATCACTCGATAATATTCCAATTCAATACAGTACTCCTTTCTCTCTTCTAATAACTCGAGAAAGACACATTTTTATTTTCCCAACATCACACATATTTTGGTCTGTACCAGTCACTTATTTGCATAGTCAAAGAAAAAGTCACTTGGTTTATGAGTTGTGGGATTCTTTCTTAACTTTCTGAAGTGAAAACAGTTTTGATTTTAGTTTTCATGAAAAAAGTTTTTCGGGGGGAAAATGAAGAACACGACACTTTACTCAAGTAATTTTTGTTTTATTTTAATGTTGAATAACACACACACACACACACTTTATTATTATTTCTTTTCTTTTTGTTTTTCAAGTGCTGGCTGGGTTTCTTTATCTTCATCTTCTGTTTCTCCAAATGAACATTTTGTTCCAATTAACCACTACCTCCAGATGGTTTTGTTTATTTATTTTCAATGAGTTGTCTTTTGGAACTTCTAAACTTTTTTTTGAAAAAAAAACTTGGGCGAGCAAGCATCCATTGATCTGTTGCTTAGAAACTCCAAGACTAACCAGTTGAACCATTTTTCCGCATTCAGCCATAGTTGATCTCCGAATTTTTTTTTTCAATTCATTCTCTGAGCCCCGTGGGGTTTCAATTCGTAATTCATTTTCTAACGAGTTTAACTCTAGAAAACCATTAGCGGGAACCCGAGATCGATCTCCAGACTCTTAACTTCATAACTTATCATCTAACCACCTGAGCCTTACGTTTCGCGTTCACCCCGTCTTGATCCTCGGACCCCTTGAGCCCATGAATGTTGCCAACGCATATCGAATTTCAAAAATAGATAATATAAGGTAATTACAGTAACCCACCCAACACAAGACTCTCCACAAAAATTAGCCTAATTCAACCCAAATTTTGTTTTCTTCGTTCTCCGGACGAAGAAAAATATATGTGAATTAGATACGCAAAACGATAGCCTACTTTAAAACCAAACAAAACTATGCGGTTTTTTTTCGATTTTATCTCCCTCATCCAAAAAGTTTTTTTTTGCATTTCTGACAAAAAATAGGATTTTATTATTTTTTGTTTGACTTTTGTGGGTTTTAGTTTGAAATCTCCTTCGCGGATAATCGAAATCCTCATTGATTCTTTTTTCAAGCCATGAGAGTTTTTTTTAACATGATGCTTCAGCTTTTTTCGAAAACCATACATCTATGCATTAGTTTGAACTTCGCATTAAGAAAACATTTCTAATTAAATTTTTTTTTGCAAAAACCAGCCTTTGGGAGAAACATTAACGCTGCAGGATTTTCTATGTCATCCATTTAGAGTTTCCAAAACCCCGCGTAGCTCAGTTGGTTCCATGCGCGCCTCTTGAACCAAGACCTTTTGGTTCGATCCCCCATGCCCGCAACATTTTTTATTTTTTTTTTTGCCTTCAAAATTTCAACATCTCCTTCTCTCCTGACTAAGTCCCTCACATCATATTCAATCTAACAAAGTGTTTAAGCGGAGCCCCCTCCTCCTTCTTCTTCTGCCCAAAAATTATAAGCCTTATCCCCATCGGCTGACAAAAATCCTTGTTGAAAACACCATAATCTCATACACTGCTCCACAAAAAGATAACCTCACCCCTCATTTTTCAAAAAAAAGCGAAAATTTGAATTTTTTGAAAAAAGTTTGTTTTTGAAAAACATGTCAAATTCGGATACTAATTCATCCCTGAAAACAAATTTCAGATTTGGTAAGCGCTGAAAAAAAAAATGAGAATTTTCAAAAAAAGCCGATTTGCCAATCCACATAATGATAACCTCACCCCATGTTTTTTGACGAATTCGGACTTTTTAGTCGGAGTTAGTCACCCAAAATGTGTTAATCTATGGTTGGTGAGTTTTTAATCTTAAAAAACCCAGTGCCACGTTTTCAACAAGTTGTGAGCATCAGATTTGGAGCATTGCGATGTAAAGAGCATTTTTCAAACATTTTATACAGATATTGCTATTTTTTCATTTTTTTTTCAATGTTTGACGTTAAAGACGATCCAAATGATCTGTTTTAAGCTCATTATGTTAAAAAAAATTGGAAAAAATTGAAAAAAAAGAAGAAAACGATCGAGATGCGAATTTTGAATTTCGCGCTGATTGAATATTTGGAGCACCCACGACGTAAACTTTGGAAAATTACTGTTTTTTTTGTTTTTCAAATTGTTTTCTAATGATCAATACTTTTCTAACATCTCACATCAAATTTTCATCCAAAATGCCGCGAGGAAAGCCTCTCTCTGATTTTGAAAAAGGGCAAATCACAGCCAAAAAAGATCAACGACTTTCAAATCGACAAATCGCAAGAGATTTAGGCCGTAGTCCACGAGTTATCAATAATTATGTTAACGATCCGCTAAATTATGGCACCGGAAAATGTCCTGGTCGTCTGAGCTTGCGATTTGTCGATTTGAAAGTCGTTGATCTTTTTTGGCTGTGATTTGCCCTTTTTCAAAATCAGAGAGAGGCTTTCCTCGCGGCATTTTGGATGAAAATTTGATGTGAGATGTTAGAAAAGTATTGATCATTAGAAAACAATTTGAAAAACAAAAAAAACAGTAATTTTCCAAAGTTTACGTCGTGGGTGCTCCAAATATTCAATCAGCGCGAAATTCAAAATTCGCATCTCGATCGTTTTCTTCTTTTTTTTCAATTTTTTCCAATTTTTTTTAACATAATGAGCTTAAAACAGATCATTTGGATCGTCTTTAACGTCAAACATTAAAAAAAAATGAAAAAATAGCAATATCTGTATAAAATGTTTGAAAAATGCTCTTTACATCGCAATGCTCCAAATCTGATGCTCACAACTTGTTGAAAACGTGGCACTGGGTTTTTTTAAGATTAAAAACTCACCAACCATAGATTAACACATTTTGGGTGACTAACTCCGACTAAAAAGTCCGAATTCGTCAAAAAACATGGGGTGAGGTTATCATTATGTGGATTGGCAAATCGGCTTTTTTTGAAAATTCTCAATTTTTTTTCAGCGCTTACCAAATCTGAAATTTGTTTTCAGGGATGAATTAGTATCCGAATTTGACATGTTTTTCAAAAACAAACTTTTTTCAAAAAATTCAAATTTTCGCTTTTTTTGAAAAATGAGGGGTGAGGTTATCTTTTTGTGGAGCAGTGTATTTTCTTTCTTCTTCACATTAAACAAAATTTTCAACCAACCAAGAAAGCGATTAAATTTTAAAATTTGAAGAAAATTCCCGCGCGAAAGTTTGAAATTAAAAAAATGCAACGCCCCATCGCGCGATATTACCATGCTATACGTTATGCTGAAAATGATGAAGATCGAGCGGTGAATCAAGGTGATTTTGAACCGAATGTTGTAAATGTTAATCAAAAATAAATAAAAGGTGCAAGCGATCAGACAAATATTTTTCGGGCTGAAACCAGTCTGAATCTTGAGATTTTCAGCAGTTCTGAAATTTTTAAAAATCGAATGTCTATAAGTGTTCAGAAGGTTCGATTTGGGGTATCAAAATTCTACGATTTTCAAGCCCGTTAAACTTCGCCAGGCTCAGCAAACCTTTGGCGGCAAACTCGTTTTTCGCTACAGGCAGTGTTCTACTATTCTTCTCTCTAAACCTACAGTACCTTTTTTCCTTCCCTTTCCCTCAAAAGGAAAAATTCCACAGGTGAAAAACAAATAAGCTATGTACCTCTAGATCTAGGTTGTACTGTTTGATCAGCTTTTTCTTTTTTTTTCTCCCAAAATTCCCTTTCCCATATTATATATATATTATATAATCAAATCAAGCACCCGCGTCGTTACAGTAATAATTTTCAATAAAAAAAAAATAATCGATTAACCGGGGCGCGCCGGTCCTACCATTTGCACACGCACACACACAACGACATTTTATTGTTTTTATTTTGTGTGTGTCACCTTCTTCTCCCGTTTCTTCTCAATTTTTGCTAAATAGAAAGAAAAAGTTTTGTTTTGCGGGGGCTGACGGTTTCCGGACTGCTGGTTTTATAAAGTTCAATACTTTTGATAGGTGTTTGTTATCAATATGGAAGGTACTACCGTACCTAAGATCCTACTTGATCTTCTTACCAGAGGATCTACTCCTGAAGGAGTCTAAATACTCGTCAACCTCACCTTAAAAGAGGTTCTTAAAAAGAACCTGCCTACGTTCCTACTTATCTTTTTTCCTTGCTGAATTTAGAGCCGCGACAGAGCTACCCGCTCTATGTCACCTACTAACCCCTTGATTCTTCCAGGTTTATGCGAAAAGCGCACCCATTTTCAATTGTCCTCTTCTGAATCCTCATCAAGCAGTTCGATTTTTGGCGGTTTCAGTGGAAATATGAGCGGTGTTGACGTCGAAGGACCACCCGATGCCAAAAGATTTCGAATTGATGTTAACACACAGGTAAGAACCACATCTAAAATATTCCAACCTCACTTGATTAATTTCAGGTTTCTTGCGATGCTCCGTCAGTTTCAACAGCTTGTTCAGCAGCCACTCCATTAGCTGGCGAAGCACATCAAGAAGGTCAAAGTCCAGCCGCTCCCTCATCAGCCAGTTATCGATCTTCAAATGGAAGTGTTGTCTCAAATTCAGATAGTCCAAATAAAGAAGAAGATATTCTACTCAATGATGAATCGGAAGGAAGTTCAGTTGGAACTGGAAGCACTGTCAGTGGACTCATGGGATCGCTGAACACATCGACTAATTCAAGTGCGCCATGCGATCTTTTGGATATGTTGAGTAAAACAATGTTGAGTGGTGTTTTTGGAGGCGGATTGGTGGATGATGTCGTGGCGAGACCATCGAATTTGTTGAAATCGATATCGAGTTCGCCGACGCCAGTGGGACAAGGTATTCCAGGAGCACTTGCAGTTGCGCAGACACCAGCTGCAGCACTTTTTGCAGAGGTAAGTGATGTAGCTCTTGATCTAGTAGCTAACAAAACTCTCGTTCCAGGATGATTGGAGTTGGCATCGCAACCCGGCTGCCTCAATTCGCAGCGGTGGAACCAACAAACAAACACCGGTCTGGAAATATTTTGTCTATAACAAATCTGAAAATTTGTCTCGTTGTATTGTTGGCGATTGTACTTATATGCTAAAAGGTCCACACACTTCAACATTGGCTTGTCATTTGAAAAAACATACTGTAGAATATGCGGAGTTTCAGAAATTGAAAAACGAATATTCGAGAAGTAAAATGGAAATTCAAGCGAATCAACCAAAGGTTTGTTGAAATTCTGGATAACTTATGAGGCTTATTCAATAATCCTTGGATAGAAAAAAGGTTCTTCAAAAAATCGGAAGCTAATCTGGGTTTCAGGAAAAAGCCAAATATTTTTTGAAATTTAGCTGTTTCGAAAATTCTATATTTTTTCCATAGATTTTGATTTTTTCGTACATATTTCGAAGCAAAAAAAACTATGCATGATAAATTATTTTCCTCAATCGAAAATAATTTCAGGATTCGCCACATGATTCAATTTCTCCATCTGGAATGGATCTTTCAATGCCTTCAACTCAACAACATCAACAATCTCAACAAAAACCACCAAAAGCACCCAAGAAAGAATCCCTTCCATCTCCACCAAATCATATGAATTTCCTATTTCGTCCACAAATTCCACCATCTTCTAATAATTCGACCAATTCAAACAATCCATCACATCATCCAGCTCCAGCACAAATGCTTCAAAATATGATGCAACTTCAACAAATGATGTTTATCTCACCATCAGCTGCGGCGAATTCGGCGGCTGCGGCAGCCGCTGCCGTCAATTCTGCAGCATTACAACAAGCTGGATTACAATTGGCTGCAAATGGACAAATTGTGCAATCGAAAAAATGGCGAGGAGATGATAAAAAACAACGAGAAATGCAAATGAGATTGGCGATGGCGTTGTCCACGTCACATGTTGGATTTGAGGTTTTGGCGAATCCGATGTGGAGGGATTTGATGGAAATTGTGCAACCGAAGTTTAATTTTCAGGTGGGATCTGATTTCAAAATTAGAAAAAACTTCAATAATTTTTCCAACATTTTATTTCCAGGCTCTAACTCAAACTGATTTGGATCACACAATAAATTCAATCTCAGCTCGCCTTTATCAAACCATCAAAAACCTTCTAAACAATTCAAAATCAATCAATATTTTAGTAGATGTTTCACCGAAAACATCTCAAGAAATATCTCGAATAACAATTTCAGCTGCAATTCCAACAAATAATAATTATAATGAAACACAAGTAATATTACTTGCCTCAAGAAATTTGTCGCAAAATTCCGAAAATCCAGCAGAGGAGATCTCAAAAACAGTGGAACAAGTGATAACATCGGAATTTGGAGTGAATTTTGAAATGATCAATCGATTTGTTTGTTCGGGTTTGAAGAATTATGTTGGAGAAGATTGTTTGAATATTTTGGATAAACAAATTGAGGCTTTTGGTAGCCAATTATTGAATTGTTTTATGAATTGGTTGGAAAATAGTCAATTTGTGGATTCGATTAGAAAATCTATGTTTACTATGATTTTTTCGGTTATTGCTAATCAAACTGCACTTCAGATGGCAACAAAGCTTAATTGTGAGTTGGAGAAAATGAGAAAAGAAAGGGGAGGGCTGACTGAGTATCTAATGTAGATGTAAAGTGCGAGTGTAGGAAAATTATTAGAGTTACTGTAGAAAAAATCAGAATGTGTTCCTGTTGAAGTTCAAAAATGCGATGGAGCGCATTTTTTCCTTTTAAAAAAATTAAAAATTTCAAATTTTTGCAGGTGGTAAATTCGATATTCCAATAACTGAACCATTTCCAATTTTAATCGAAACAATATGTACAATGCGGGAATGTTTCAAACTTCATCAAATCGATGGTTTTGTTGGAATGTCAGATTCTCAATGGACCAAACTTGCAGCACTTAATCAATTCTGTAATCTTTTCAAATCATATATCACATATTCAAATTGTAATTCTGAAATTCACACAATCGATACAGTTGTTCCATTTCTTCAACAAGTCAAAAATGCGTTGGAAAAAGATATTTATAATTTGGGAAATGAAATGGCAAGCGAATTGAAAGAATTGATCAATGAAAAAATGGCATTTATTTTGGATAAAGAATGTGAAGAATATGATTCGACTTATATTCAAGCAACAGCATTAAATCCACAACTTGCCGTGATTCTTAACAATGAACAAATTGAAATGGCAAAAGAATTGATTGAACAAGAAGTTGCAAAGAAAAAACGAAAAGGAAAAAATAAAAAAATAACACTTGGAGTTGATTCGATTTTGGCAAATGTTATAAAAAGTGAAGGAATGAGCAATATTTATAGTGAATTGTTTCAAAATATGGCGGCAAATCAAAGAGAAAATGAGAAAAATGAAGAGGAATTGAAAGAAAATATTGTTGGACAATATTTTGATGAGATTTCGAGCTCGGTAAGAAGATTATTTTTTTTTTTTTTTTGGGGAGAAGGGATTAGCCGACTGAAATACGGGTTGACCAAAGTCTTATAAAATTTCTATTGGGCGATTTTTGATTACTGTAGATCAAATTTACCCCCAAAAATACACGTGAAACATTTCAAATGTTGAACTTTAATTTCCAGCTTGAGGTATTGTGATATCTAGGATACTGTAGCTCATAAAAAGTACAATCAAAATATTCAAAATTGCACCAAATTTCTTTTCAGATTTTTTTGCATAAAAGTTCTGCCATGCGCCTTTGAAATGCCAGGGTCACTAAATTTTGCTACCATGAAAGTTTTTTTGAGAAAATACTTGAGGCGGAAAATGTTCGGATTACTGTAGTTCGATTTGATTTATAAACAACTTGAATTTTCAAACTTCAATCAACTTTTCTCAAAAATCGAAATGTTTTAGACTCCTGTCGAATCAATCTTCAATCCTCTTCTCAATCGTTCATTCGGTAATCCAATGCAAACTCCAATGTTATATTGGAAATCATGTTCCTCAAAATGTCCGGAACTTGCCGAATATGCTCAAGAACTTCTCTCAATTCCAATCTACACTTTAACATCTGAAAAATGTCATCAATTCCATCCAAATCCTTCGCCATATCATCAATTGAATCTGAATATTTTGGAACAACAACAATGTTCGGATCAATTTGAAAAACAAACATTACTTCGGCTAAATCGACAAATTGTCGCAAAACTTTTGTAGATTTGTTTCTATACCCCTAATTTTTGAGTTTTTGAGCAAAAATATATATATACGAGTTGATTTCAATATGTTTTCTTTCCTTCATTTTCCGAGCAGCTAGTCGATAGTCCTTTTTTGAATTTTCAAATTTCATATTTCCCCTTCCCCCCGAAACCCGATACAAAAAATGTACGCTTTAATAATCTTGCCTCCCCTCGTTTCCCCCTTGAAAAAGTGCAATGTTTGCCAATTTTGTGATTTTCCCCCAAATATAAATATTATATTTATTGCTTCCCATATTTTTTTCTTGATTTACTTTTTTGATTTGATTGAATGAATAAATATATTTTTTATAATAGAGTAGGCAGTTCAAGGTTTGGTTCCCTTGAACTCCTTTCCAGCAACAAAGATTGAAGTGGATCACAACCACTTACACAAACGATAAATACACGAAAAGGTTGAAATGCAAGCATTTATTGATCGCAAATCATTTTATGACAAGAAGGGGGACGGTTTAGGACCGTCCCGAGACACAAAACCTACTAAAACCCTAGAAAAACAAGGAAAAGCTCAACTCGGTTTGAAACCTTGAAAAACAAAGCAAAACCAGAAATGCGCAACACAAACACGTCAGTGCTTTGACGTTGGCGCGTTTTGTGTGCACCGCGGCTATTTGAATACGGAGTTTTACCAGGGATATTACTTCCCCCTCCTTCAAAAAAGCCGTCCCGGCTTTACTATAAAACCGTAGAGTTGGCAGAGCTTAGGGCAAGAGTTAACAAAAAATAAACAAATTACACCTCATTTATTTATCCAATTGTTGTCGATCATCAACACCGTTTGATATCGATTTTGAACTCATCCCATCATACCAATCTTTCCATCAACCATTCAATCCACATCAACTTTCTGTTCAACAATTCATAAATCATCAATCAATGCCATCGGAATCCTATTTCTCATCGATTTCGATCCCTATCTACTTTCGACCTCCGAACATCCAGACTCCACGACGCACATCCAATTGAATCCTCACCATGATTTCTTTCATCCTCAACATTCATTTTCTTCAAATTTTCCAGCGTCTCCAGCGCCATTTTTCCAATAATTGTGTGCTTGGTTCCGATGCTTTGGCCATACACCACACCAATATCTTGCACCATTCAGCCAAATTTCATCCTTCGGAAGTATAACCAAACTTCAGCGCATCGAAACACGTTCACCTGGGTGTCCACCTTGGCGCCAAATAACCATTAAATGACGTTCGATCGCTTCCATTATCCACGGAGTTGCTATTTTCGGACTTCGGTGCAGGATTTCCTACCCTTTTTCTTCGCACCTATCCCTCGACCCTTCGAGTAGCTTCCTCCTCTTCCAAATTCTGACTCTTTTTCCTGAAATTCCACAACCTTGAGTTTTCTTGAATCTTCCATTCAAAAATCATACCATTTGCTTCCAACAATCTTCAGACAACATATCCTCCATGCGAACAGGTTTTCGAGCTTCTTTTGGCTTTCAAATCCTCCCGATTCCACCAATCACCCTTCTGCTCCACTTCCAGGCTACATTTCTTCCGATTCTCCATCTTCCACAAACTCCTGATATCGAATTCTCGATTTTTTCGATTTTCATCTCGCAAAACCCCATCCATTGTCATTCCAATCCATAATATTTCAATCGGATGTCTCAATATTGCCAGTTTTGTTGATATGGAGTTGTCGGACTGCAAAAATACGAATAAATTGACGATTTTAGGTCAACGACGACATAAACTATCTGATTCAGACAGTTACGTTTGCCGGATTCCGACAAATGTCGCGTCGACCCCCCAGCACGAACAAAATACACGAATAAGCAGCATATCGATCAATAAAATCAAATAAATCTTCATTCACTCAAAGATTCCTCTGAGTTGCGACGAAAATCCAACAATCCATATTTCCTCTCGATTCGCCAAGTCCATCTGGTTCCTCGATCGGTTTTAGTTCGGCCCCCAAGTAGGCAGTTCAAGGTTTGGTTCCCTTGAACTCCTTTCCAGCAACAAAGATTGAAGTGGATCACAACCACTTACACAAACGATAAATACACGAAAAGGTTGAAATGCAAGCATTTATTGATCGCAAATCATTTTATGACAAGAAGGGGGACGGTTTAGGACCGTCCCGAGACACAAAACCTACTAAAACCCTAGAAAAACAAGGAAAAGCTCAACTCGGTTTGAAACCTTGAAAAACAAAGCAAAACCAGAAATGCGCAACACAAACACGTCAGTGCTTTGACGTTGGCGCGTTTTGTGTGCACCGCGGCTATTTGAATACGGAGTTTTACCAGGGATATTACTATAGAACAATATTTATTTGACTGCTTACTTGCTTGTTAGCTGAGTATCTAATGTCTTTTGAATATTATATTCTTTCTTGGTTGATCATAAGCTTTCAAATGAGTATAATCGTACCCCGGTTTTCTCTCTAATTTTCTACAACCTCAAAACAAAATCTCTTTATTTCTTCATAAAATACCTATCTCTTAACAATTTCCTAATTGCATAAATAATTGCATCTTTTTCATGTCTTTTTTCTTCTTCTGAAGATGAAGAAGAAGATGAAGAACTGCTGCTCGAACTTGAAGAACTTCCTTTATTTCGATAAATATTCAAAATTCTCCAAAAATTCTCATGTGAATGACTTCCACTACTACTTGAACTTCCACTTTTCTCATTCGAACCCGAGCCAGATCCTTTCTTTTTCTTTTTCTTATCTTTTTTCTTGTTCTTTTTCTTTTCCTTTTCATCACTATCGCCATCTTTTCCATTTTTGTTTTTCTTTTCATCTGTATTCTGATTTCCTTGATCACCTCCAGTATTTGTACCATTTGTGTTAGAAGAACTAACATCTGCTCCGGTGTTATTAGAAGCTGGCTCTGAAAACAACATTTTCAAAATTTTGCAGAAGTTTATTTATTAGAGTTTTCTGACATCAACTATGTCGACACTCCAAGATTACACATGAAAAAGCGGATCATCGTTGTATTTTTTAACTCACGATCATCACTATAAGCAATCACATAATTTCTCGCCGTCTGTCTCTGTCTCGCCTCCTCTTGCTCTCTCGCCATCCTCGCCAACGTGAAAGGACACGGTTGTGTTTTGGGGACAACTTCTCTACCAGCAACAGAAAACGGACATGGTGTTGGCGCGGGAATATTTTGTGGACACCGGATTTTGTATAGAAAACAGAGTGTTAGAAATAGAAATAGTAAAGTTTGCATTTTTAAATGAAAATTTTTTTGAATAACGGTTTTATATAGGAACAACTTTCAATGGACGAAAAAGTAAAATTTGTTGGAAAAGAAAACACAATGAGTTTTTGGAAAAAATAGTACTGTTTCAAAGGGACAACAGGATGTATTGTGTCAGGGTCTCGAAGGGAAAGGCACCCGGGTTGTTTTTTGTGTCGAAAAAAAAACAACATTTTTAAAATTATTTTTTCTTTTTTGCGTCACGTGTTCTATTTTATGTGGCATACGTGTATTGAAAATGCCAACCAGACAACGAAAAATCGAAAATCAATCAGTTCTATATTTATAAAATGTCAGAAAGTATCAATAGTAGCAATAATAGTAGTAGCAAAAAAGACGACGCCAATTCGAATGCACCGCCTGCAGATGGAAAAACTGAAAATGCTCCCGCTGAAAATCCATTAGAAACCGGACAATTTATCGATTTAACCAATGATTTATCAACAAAATCTATGTCGAAATATTTGGAGATATTTGGTGAATTATACACCAAACAGTCCGAGGCCCACATGGAATCCAACAATTCTTCTCAAATTATTGCAAGATGTTCGAGAGAAAATGGATGGAGAAGTATTGATTCCGGAGATTTCGACAACACAAAAACCAACAATTGTTTTTGGACCGATTTTTGGGGAAGGAGATTCGCTGGTCACTTTGATGAGTCAAGCTGGAATGCCACCCGATGTTAATTATGTCATGTTGGGATGTTATACTGGAAAAGGTTTTGGTGAGTTCGACATTCAACACTCGGATAACTAGATTTTCGAATTCTCTAGTTTCGTCCCAATTTTTTTGATAAGCCCTACCAAACTGAAATTTGAAATCTATATTTTTCAGCACCACTCGAATGCATTTGCCTTTTGCTCAGTATGAAAATGTTATATCCCACAAATATTTATTTATTAAAGGGACATCATGAAGAATCGCTGTCCCTTGAAATGCTCAAACTTGGTAATTGGCTGCAGTTACGTGGAATACCTCTAAACACTCCCGAACATCAACAAATCATCGACGAAATGAAGAAATCGTGTTTCGCATTTTCGCCGGCTGCATTTTTGGATTCACGTATTTTGTGTATGGCTGGTGGTCCGGGACCATTATTGCGAAAAAAGAATGGGCTGAAGAAATTGATGAAAATGCAGCGAAAATTGAAATATTCCGTGAAGGAGAAGAATTTGCTGATGGAATCGAGTTGGTCGGTGATGATATTGAATGAGGCACAAAAAGAGATGCATGGAATGCCGTATTTTACACCGGTAAGATAATATGGCCTAGGAATTACGTTCTATTTTTAGTCCACCAAAAAATTTCATTCAGAATGTAGAAATTTGGCCCACATCAAAATTTCTACATTTTTTTTCGAAAAAAAAATTCATTCAAAATGTAGAAATTTGGCTCACGTCAATATTTCTACATTTTTTTTTTCGAAAAAAAAAATCAAAAAAAAAATTTCATTCAAAATGTAGAAATTTGGCTCACGTCTAAATTTCTACATTTTTTTTCGAAAAAAAAAATCAAAAAAAAATTTCATTCAAAATGTAGAAATTTGCCTCACGTCAAAATTTCTACATTTTTTTTCGAAAAAAAAAAATCAAAAAAAAATTTCATTCAAAATGTAGAAATTTGGCTCACATCAAAATTTCTAAATTTTTTTTCGAAAAAAAAATCAAAAAAAAATTTCATTCAAAATGTAGAAATTTGGCTCACATCAAAATTTCTAAATTTTTTTTTCGAAAAAAAAAATCAAAAAAAAAATTTCATTCAAAATGTAGAAATTTGCCTCACGTCAAAATTTTAACATTTTTTTTCGAGAAAAAAAAATCAAAAAAAAATTTCATTCAAAATGTGGAAATTTGCCTCACGTCAAAATTTCTACATTTTTTTTCGAAAAAAAAATCAAAAAAAAAATTTCATTCAAAATGTAGAAATTTGCCTCAAATCAAAATTTCTACATTTTTTTTCGAATTTTTTTTTATTTTCGCAGCCATATAAAATCCCAATTTTTTCCAGGAACAAGCCTCTGAATTCTGCCAATCGAATAATTTGCACTGTCTAATTCGTGGTCGCCAACTTGTAGATCAAGGTTTTTTGAACAAACCAAAAGATGTGATAACAATCATCTCAGCTGTCGCATATTTGGATAATTTTCGAAATTTTGCGGCTGTTTTGAAGATTCAAGGACCAAAAGGAACAATTATTCGATATAAAATGGAAGAAGGCGAACAATTATCATTAGAACTTGTGAAACCAGGAATTGGTAGAAATGTTGTCGCATGAGAAATGAATCGAATTTATGAATAAATATTTTGATTTGCGTAGATTTTGAAATTTTCTACTTTTTGACAATACGAGAAAGGTTTTGTGTTAAAAATCATTTTTCCTGAAATCAAATGAATTTTTAATTATTAGAAAAAAAACTAATTGAAACTTTATTCGAAATCTTCAGAAACTACGATTTTTTCTCTTTTGAGCAATTTATTCCTTCTTGAGAGGTTTTCCATTTTCCCAAACAGTTGTTTTCAAAGTGGCAGCTGGTTTCTTGGCACCTTGAGCACTCTGAAAAAAACATTTCAGATAATTTTTTGGCTCTGAAAGTTTCGAAAAAACCAACTTTTGAGCATTGTCTAACGACTTGAGCAGCAATTTGCGAATAACGAACATAGTTCAAACCGGCGGCTCTCCACGCAACCATTTTAAATCGATTTTTTAACCTTAAAAGTTTTTGATGGTACTGTATGCGCCTTCAAAAAGATTTATATCAAATATTCACGGTATTTTTTCAAAACCGGTATTCAGAAAAACTATCAAATAAAATACAATATACAATTTTTTGTTCAAATAATAAATACAGTACAACAAATTGAATGAATAAATTAGGTAAGTAGAATGTGTTTGGGTTACGGTAAGGGAAACATTTTGGGTAGATCAAAACTTTTTTGTAAGAAAGAAAATCAAAAGTCAGATTCTTTTGACATTTTGGGTGGAAGTTCAGGGTGGGGTTACTGTAGATGAGTTTCAGTGCCAAAATTTAGATTTTCAAATTTTCAATTTTTGCGCGCAATAATCAAGGTTACTGTAGATTTTTTTTCACGCGTAAAATTTTAAATTTTGAATAGGTGGAATGTTCCATGCGCCTTTAAAATTTCAAGGTTACTGTAGCTCTGAAGTTTGCGGATTACTGTAGTTTATTTGTTGCGCCAATGTGGATTTTAATTTTAAGGGTTACTGTACCCCAATTTTCGACACGTTTGAGAATCGAAATTTCGGATTACTGTAGTTCTCATTGGCAAAAATACATTTAATGTAGGAGCAGACATGTTCCTACGACCGGGCCGGCCCCGGCCCGGCCTGGCCGAATGGAAAAAACGGGCTTTAGGGCCCGGCCCGGCTTCTCGCTCGATGGCCCCTGAAAAGCCAGCCAGGGCCGAGCCGGGCCCGGCTGGCCCTTTCAATTTTTTTGTCAACAACACACTTATTTTTCTCAAGTTCGCAAGTCCACTATTCGATTAGAATTAGGCTAAAATACCGAGACAATGTTTTCAAACGTGTGAATTAGGATTACAATTCGAAAAAAATCGTGTCAGAGTTGTAAAAAAAATTTTTTCGACAAAAATTAATTTTACAGGCGTTGTAGAATAAAATATCTAACAATTTGCTTCATTTTCCTGTTTTTCTATTATTTGACGTCAGAATTAATGAATGAAAAACATATAAAAAATCGTGATAAGAACGAGAAAATATTGAAATCGGGCCAAAACGGGCCGGCCGGGCCGAGCCGGGGTTCGGCCCTGGCTTTCCCCACAAATTCATTGAAAGCCGGGCCGAGGCCATGGCTTTGAGATGAGGGCCCGGGCTCGGCCCGGCCGGCCCCAGGAACATGCCTGTGTAGGAGCTACCGTAGTTACCTTTAGAAATAATGAATAAACGCGCCAAGGGTTACTGTAGCTCATTTTTTGATAACAAAAATTATTTGACACACCATGCTTGTAAGTCGCAGAAAAAACACTTTATTAAAAAAGAAGGGAAGAAGAATAAAATTATCAAACAAGAAAAAAACATGTTAATTCAAAAAAATCAATAATAATAATATAATATGCCATTCAATAAATAACTGTTTTTTTGGGAAAAAAACGAATTATTTCACAACCAGAAAAGGGAGAATTTAAAGGGACATATATAAAAAAAAAGGCAAGCGGGGAATGAAAAAAAATGAAGAAGCAATTCGAAAAAAATCACAGAAAATCTCGGAAAATTCTCTTTTTTTGGCGCCAAATTGGAATAGGGCGCAAAAATGCACAGCAAACACGAAAAAATAAACAAACCAAGGCAGAAGAACAAAGTAGAGTAGATCAAAAAATTGCAAATTTTTATCGAGGCGTTTGTGACGACATTTTTTGACAAACTTATTGATTTGCTGGAAAAAATACAAATAGACATGTTAGTTTTTGGGTTGAGAACATACCAAAAAATCTACAGTAGTCCGGGAGATCCGGGAGATACTGTAGAAAAATTTTGGGTGTTTCTCAAGGACAACAAGGGAAATTTTCACTTCAAATTTGAGAAAAAAAGTAAAGAGCACACAATTTTTGAATACTGTAGTATTTTTTCGATAATATTTGGTTGGAAAAAATACGTGGAAATTTTTTTTAATTGCCAAAAGGCATGTAGAAACTTTACAAAATTTTAAAATTTGAATATATTTCCGCAAAAAAGTAATTTTCTGTTTTAGATAAAACATTTCGATTTGAAAAAAACGATTTAAAGCGCTAATTCAATATTGAAAATTGGAAAATAACGTGAAATCTAAATTTCGAGTCGAAATTCTCAAATTTCAGCAACTAATTGTGAAATAGTCATTCGATCAAAATGATTCATACCATTTGGTGATCCACCATTTCCAGCACTTCCACCACCTCCTCCACCAATAATAACTGGAACACTTCCAGGTGTTGTTTGTCCCGAATAAACTTGTCCAGGTCGAATTGGTTTCACAATTTGTGGCGCATTCATTCGACGCATATTTCTTTGTCGAACAGCTTCTTTGATTCTCTCAACTTCTTGTTGATATTTTTTGCGTTCAGCTTGACTTCTTTGTTTCGAATCTCTCAACGCAGTTTCGAGCATTTTGATACGATCTTCTCTTCCGCGAAGACGAGCTTCCATTTTTGGAAGTTCGACACGAAGATCAGCATTGTCGCGAACAAGCTGAAAATATATATAGAAGATTATTAATACTATTCAGTTTAGTATGAGCAATGCCAGATATTTATGTGAAACTTCAATATTTTGGATACTTTTCAGATAATATTCAGTACCTAAAATCCAAATCTTGATATTTCATCAACCTTTTCATTTCAAAAAAAAAACCAACCTGTTTGTGAACTTTGGTCAATTTGTCCAAATTATTCTCCAAAAATTGAATGCGTTGTTTTTGTGCTGGTCCACTCAGCGAATCTTCTCCTTCTGTATCTTGATTTGTTTGGCATCGAGCAACAATCACACGCAAAAATTCCTTTTTGAGGTTTTTGAGAGTTGTGAGCTCCTGAAAAAAAGGAAAAAATTAGGGGGAGTAAATATTTAGAAACTTAAAAACCAAAAATGTTCGAAAAAAATTATTCATATCAGAGAGAAAAATTCCGAATGAATATACGATTTTCAAAATTTCTGCACATGTTTGATCTCAAAAAAATCAGCAAAGTTTCAGTTATCCCAACCCCCCTCAAAATTCCTTAAAAAAACTAACCAAATTAACACGATCACTCAATGGTTTAATCTCTTTAGCAGCTTGATCTCTAATCAATAATTGCTTCATTCTTCCAGCATCTTGTCCAGATTCAACTCTTGCAACATCAGCTGCTAATTTGGTTTCAGCTTGTTGTTCAGCAGCATCTGATGATTCTTTGGCAGCCGAATATTCGGAGAATAATTTCGAAACTCCAATTCGAACATGATTCAAAAGATCGTGATCAGGAAGTTGATCATTTTGCGAAGCCTGAAAATATATTTATAGGTGGGGTTTGGTTGAAAAAAATACATTTTGGCAGAAAAACAACTTACAACTTCAGCAATATTGAATTCTTTAACAACATTATAAATTCCTTCTTTGAAATGTCGAATTTTCGGACCACATTCATCCAAATGTGCATTCAAAAGTGAAGTTGCTTGATTCATTCGATCTTCCAATGATTGATTTTCTTCTTGAACAACTTCCAAATCGCGTTTCAGTTTTTCACATTCCGCTTGACGAACGTCTGGAAAATATGGAAGAGTTTTCATAATTTCTAGGCCACGGGATAAATTTTGATAAAAATTTAAAAGTTCCCGATATTTTTCACCCCAAAATGTTTGTTGTCTATAAAATCAGAAAATCATGAAGAATCCTATTTTCTCACTCAAAATCCTCCTGTTCCCAAAATTCTTACCCAAATTAACAGCAATTTCTTCCAAAGCAGTCATCATTTCTTTTCCTTCTTGTTGTTTATCATCAGCCTCTTTTTGAATTCTCGAATTTTCATCTCGAATGATTTCTTCGTTTTCTCGCATTGTTTGAAGAGCGTCTTCTTGAAGAGTGAGTTGAAGTCGAAGTTTTTCCAATTCTTGGGAGACTTTTTGAATCTCATCATCTTTTTCGTCGAGTTGTTGATACAATTTGACACGTTCTTCTTCGTATCTGGAAAAAAATGAGTTTAGGCGAAATAGGGTGAAAACCCTCCCCAAAAATCCCTTACTTTTTCTTCTCCTCATCAGTAATTGGCCCATTTCCACTAGTCAACATTGGCGGTGCTGGTGCAATAGATCTTTCCATCAATGGTGTCGATCCACCCGACACTTCAGATATTCCAATCTGTGCACTTTCAGCCAACAAATTGACCCATTCATTTTCAGCCACACTTTCTCCAGCTCTCCATCTTGCCAATTCCAAAGCTGCTGCTTGTAGCAAAGCGGCAAGTCTTGTTGCTTTTTCCTTCTCTTTCTCATATCTTCTTTTCCATTCTTCGGCTGTGAGTTCTTCGTTGATTTGGACAACATTCTTGATGGTTTTGGCTCTGAAAAAAATATGAGAAATGAAACGGGAATTAAGAAGTTGGAATTTTAAATCGGGGGAAAATTTTTCAATTTTTTTTTGTTTTCACATTTTCAAAAAAAATCAATTCTTTCAAAAATCTACAGTAAGCTATTTGAAGGCGCACACCAAACATTGTTTGGGTCTTGCAGCGATGTTTGCTGCAAATGCGCCCCAATGCGAATTCTCATTGCTCATCCTATTTTTCCAAGTTTTCAGCCAATTTTCAGCTGAAAATGCCGGTTCAATACAAAATCGAGAAAAAAGAAACGACGAAGATTTTGGTGAAGAAAACTGAGATTAGAAAAATTGTAAGTGTGGTGAACAATGCAGCTCCAAAACAGGTGAGTACGAAGTTCCACAGTTTTTATGAATGTCGTAAATTTTAAAGATATCTGCTCCAAAACCAAAACCTACTCAAAGTTCGATTGCGAAACCGGTAGGCATGATTATTTTCAGTGAAAAAAACACCTTAAATTTGAACTTATTTTCAGAAAGCAGCAGCTCCAAAACCAATTCCAAAACAGGTGAGTTACCGAAATTAGATTGAAAATACAAAAATTTTATATTTTTCAAGAATTCCGCTCCAAGATCTACACAAAAAGCAGCGCCAACCCAAGCTAATCTCTTTTTGATGGCCATAAATCCAAAGATTTCCAACTGTTCTCACAAAACTGCGCAAATTTCGAATTCAAAACAGGTTAGTCCGTATATTTATAACAGAAATTCGAAAATTCTCAAGTTTCAGAAAGCACCAGCAGCAAGACCAACTAAAACCGTTGCCAGAAAATAAAACAAGATTCAAGGGTTGGTCCTGCTACAGGAAAACTTAGGTTCATTCGATAGAGCTAAGGTGCTCCTGAAACATTCCATATTTTATTTTGATTTTAGAGCGAGTTTTCACCATCTTATTCATGTTTTTGTTGGGTTTTAAGGTTTTAGTGCATATAAAAAACATGTGTGCCCTTCACACACATAATTTATTTGTGTGTACTTCTCGCGAAATGCATTTCATAACATTTTTCAACTATGGAAGGTAATTTTAATCAACTTTAGGATTGCTTATAGTTAGATTTAAAAAGTGACGCACTATTGCGGACTTGTTTTCTCGTGTAGCAGGACCAACCCTTTCACTAAGTTCTTCTAACTGTTAATTTTTCCTAATAAATCTACTTATAAATTTCTTGCGTTTTTTCAATCACAATTGTATATACTACTTCTGTAAATATCTATTCATCAAAAATCCAAATTTCAGCCAATTTTCAGCTGAAAATGTCTCTACACTACAATGATTTCAAAGTAACTAAAGAGCACGCAGCGAAATTCAAATTCTACGACGAAGTTTTGGGAAGAAATGTGACTTTTCAAGATCGTAGACGGAAAAAAGTGCAAATCGATACGAAATTGACGTTTTTCAAAAAGGAAGATAGAGACAAGATTTTGGTAGAAGAAAAAATGGAGAAATTGGATGTTTTCAAAAAACCCAAAGTTGTTGTGATTTCGAAAAAACAAATGAGAAAAATGAAACAGGCCGAGAATGCATTGAAAGATCAAAATCAAGCTTCGACTTCGAAACCAGCTGAAAATTTTGCGAAAAAGAAGGTATGTCTAAATAATTTCAAGCAAATTCTAGTAGAAAACGTTATTTTCAGAAGAGTCCAGCTCCAACATCAACTCAAAATGTAGCGGCTTCTAAACCTACTGAAAAACCAGTTCCGAAACAGGTCAGCCCGAAATTCCCGCAATTTCAATGATAATTGTAAATTTTAGAAGGTTTCCACTCCAAAACCTGTTCAAATACAAGCTGAAAATGTTCCGAAAAAGAAGGTATGTCTAAAGATATTCAAATAAAAAATACTTTGAATCGTGATTTTCAGAAAACTCCAGCGGCGACACAACCCCAAAAACCAGCTCCAAAACAGGTTAATTTGAAAAGCTCAATGTGATATTCTAAATTCTTTTGATTTCAGAAAGCTTCAGCCCCAAAGTCAACTAAAAATCCAGCTCAAAAACAGGTACATTCATAAATTTTAATTCAAAAAGTTCGTAATTTTCCTGATTTTCAGAAGAATGCAGCTCCGAAATCAACTGGAAAATCAGCTCCAAAAAAGGTTAGCCCGATTTTCCAACTATCTTAAAATTAAAATTGTGAATTTTCAAAGGCTCAAGTTTCACAACCTGCTCAAAAACCGGTTGAACATCGGGTAAATTAAATTTTCAAAGCTTAATTTTTCAAATAATGAATTTTAGGATATTCCATCTAATAATCATGCTGAATGTGTTACAACTTTCATCGAACACAATCCAATATTATATGAAGATCGGAAAATTCCACCTTCAAAAAAGTCAAGACAACGGGTAAATTTAGTTAAATAAACCAGTTAGAATTCAATTTTTTATTTCCAGGCTCGTGCCAGAGAACGCAAAAATCTTGCGAAACTTCAAAATTCAGCTGAAGAAGAAGTTAGTTCCAGATTTTCAGTTGGAAATCATACAATTTTCTCATTTTTAGAATGGTCCAGCTCCACAACCTGCTCAAACACTGGTTGAAAATCAGGTAAATTAAATTTTTAAAGACTAATTTTTCAAATAATGAATTTTAGGAAATTCCATCTTGGAATCATGCTGAATGGGTTACAACTTTCATCGAAAATAATCCATTATTATATTTGGAATCACTCATAAAGAGAAGTGGAGTTCGGAAAATTCCAGAATCTTCAAAAAAGTCAAGAAAACGGGTTAGTTTGGTAAAACAACCCAGTTAGAATTAACTCTTCTATTTCCAGGCTCGTGCCAGAAAACGCAAAAATCTTGCGAAACTGCAAAATCCAGCTGAAGAAGAGATGAGTTTCAGATTTTTGGTTTGAACGTATAAATTCTATCATTTTTCAGAATGGTCTAGCTCCACAACCTGCTAAACCACTAGTTGAAAATCAGGTACATTCATAAAATTCTATTAAAAATTCGGAATTTTCCTGATTTTCAGAAGGAATCAGCTTCAAAACCTGCTGAGAAAATATCTAAAAAGAAGGCTAAATGGATCAGAAATTTCATCGGATACAAATCAACATATTCAGATGCCGTCAAGGTGAAATTAAAAAAATCAAACTTCATTCAAAATTATGATTTTCAGACGGATCCAACTCCTGAACCGGCTGTAAATCATCCAAGAATCATTACTGAACAAAGTCTGCCAAAGCTTTCACTTCAAATGTCACAAGAAAACCCGTGGTTCTATAATTGCTGGTAAATATTTTCCAAATTTTTCTTCGCTTCAAATAAATAAATAAATAAAATTTCTTTTAATTTTTCTTAGATGTTTCCCTCCCGAAAATCAAACCTTTGTCCAAACAACAATGTCGATTTTGTTTCAGCTTCATTGAAATGTGAAGGAGAAGCACAAATAATGACAGTAGTTCTTGAATTTCCTCCCAATGATTCTTGCAAAATACGTGTCAATTTCGAATCACGATATGGAACATGTGATTTGGTTCCTTCGGCCAAAGCAGAAATAACAATACCCAAAGCAGTCAATGATTTGTTGATGTTTTTTGCTTCTTCAAGTACAGCTCCTTGTGCTCCAGTTTTGCTTACTTTTTCTGAACCAGCCAAATCGACCAAATACAATTTTCCGGTCAATTGTTTTTTGGTGGTTTGATGTTCTTGTTTGACTGTTATCAAGAAAACCGAGTGAGAACGCGATGAATGTTCATTCATGTCTGCAAAAAAATGAGAGTTGAATTGTGTTAAAATAATTTAATTTCATTAAATGTTTTAAAACGCCCGGTTTTTTCTACTTTTCCCGCGAAAAAGAATATCTAGTAGTGATTTTTTTCGAAAATTAAATTTTCCGCGCTCAAAATCGGAATGTTTTAAAATGTCCCTTTAAATCTCTCATACTTGTGACAGCAACCATTCGATTCGATTTTCCGTCTTCAATTGCTTGCAATACTTCATCCGGGGATCCAACAAATCTTTCAGTTGCTCCTTTCACATAAGGCACTCTCATTTTATCCTCATGAATCGACAAATTCACTTTTTCTGGATCTAACAAATCCCGAATTCGCTCATTATAAATCTCATAATACGAAACTTTGATGTGAAATTGTAATTCAGTGTCCATATTATAAATATGATTGAAAATATCAGCAACAATTCTTGGAATAATTCCAGATAAACCAGTATCTCCAATAACTCCTTCCATTGTATGTGTTTTTCCGGAAGATGTTTGACCATAAGCGAAAACAGTTCCATTATAACCGGATAACACATCTTGCACAATATGATAAGCGGCACCTTTATACACTTGTTCTTGGGTTGTATTTGGCTTGAAAACCTTGTCGAATACATACACTTTTCCCTGCAAAAATTAAATTTGTTTTGAATTTTTGTTTGTCATGTGGAAACTCTTCTTTAGAATTTTTCGAAGTAGAATTTACCACCTTGAGGTTCACAGAAAAATTTGAATTTATAAATGTAAATTCTAGAAGCCGAAAAGCTACGTGGCAAAAGTTGATGTGACTTTGAATGAAAAATTTAGCACAGCTAGAAGTCAATAAATTTTGAAGTCAATTAAAAATTTGAATTTTGCGAGCGAAAATTTGAAATTCAAATTTAAGACTGTTTTTCTTTTTTCAGAATTTTTGAGCCACATAAAATTATATTTTTGAAATACATTTTTAGGTACCAAGAAATGCGAGGGGAAGAAATCTTGGTCCCTTAATTAGACTGGGCGGATTCGCCAGCCTTGTATAAATTTCACAAAATTTTCAATTCCACGTCACCATCCCAGCTGCCACAGCTGTGCAAATTCCCTCTTTTCACATTTTTTTCAATGTTTCAAAGTATTTATAATAAAAAATAAATATGAAAAAAAGCACTAACCCCTAGTGAAATACTATCCTCCGATGGGAATTTCGGCAAAAATCGATCGGCATTCTTCTCTTCAGTTTTGTTTAGCGGCCGAATACGACAAAACACCTGGAAAAATATTGATTTTTCTCAAAAATTTCGCCATGAAAAATTAGGGATTTACCTGAACTCCACACTCGGCTCCATCGGTTCGCGGCTCCATTTTGTTGTTGTTCAACTACCCGCAATATACACAAAGTTTGTTCTACTACAAAAAAAGTGGTTGAGAGGCGACAAAAAAAGAGAGAAATGGAAAAATCGATAGAATTGCGAAATTTTATAGTTTTAAATAGGAAACGAAGATGATTAATTAATGTGACAGATGGTGGAAGATATGTCAATATAAATAAGTTGGATTTAAATCAAAGAAAAACTGTTTTTTGGTTAGGTTTCGGGTCAAAAAAAAACCGAAAAAAGAAATTTCGGGAATTGAAAACAAAAAATTCAGAGAAGTGCGCTGAGGTCTTGCCACGATTCACACAAAAACAGAACGCGCCTATAAGAATACCGTAACCTTTAATTAATTTATTTTTGCAAAAAAAATTTTCCAGAACAAAAAAAATGAGTAAAACGAGCGGTGCAAACAGAGTTGAAGCTCAAATGAAAGAGAGAAAGCGAGAGAGTACTCTCCTCATTTCACACACTCTCTCGTTTTTCAATGGACAAACGGCCGGCCTCATCGACCGACTGGTTGGTTGTCAAACATGTATTATATTGAGCGAGTGAGCGGATGGGGGATGGATGGCTCGAGAGACAAAAACGAGGAAATAATGTGAGAAATTGAGAGAGTGGCGAGAGAAAGTTGTTCGATTAGAGAGCGAGATTGAATAGAGAAATAGAGAAAGAGAATTGAAAGAAGGACATTTGACTAATTATACAATGACTGGATATAATAAAAATACAAAATACAATGAGTAAATAAATGTAGTGAAGTGTATTTTAGTGTAAAATTAAAGGGTTACTGTATAATTTTAGTGAAAAATCTTATGATTTTCAAATTAAAAATTTTTTTCGCAAGCAGAGATCGTCACAAGCCCAACGGCGAGATTACTGTAACATAGGCATCAGGTGTGTTTCTAATTTGCTAAAAAAAACTCCACGTGTTCTGACTGTCAACTTTTAGAACTTTAAAGAAATAAAATTTTGGCGTAAACAGCGATCGCAGCGAGACCACTACTGTTCAGAGTACTGTAGAACACCCATCATATGTGTTTGTGGATAGAAATATTTGCTCGAAATGCACGTGGAAATATCAAGGGGTAAAAATTCATGTTGAGAGTACTGTATCACTCACATAAGCTGTGTGTTTTTACGAGACTCTGGACACTGTATTTTTTTTTGCAATTCGAGGGAGACGCAGACTTTAACGTGTGCAGACAAATCTCTCGTCGAAAAAGGGAGAGAAATAGTGTGTGGCAGACACACAGCGTGTCGAGACCAGAGAGTGTCTGCGTCTCCTCGAAATTGCATTTTTCTATTAGAAAAAAACACAGTGTGGAATTGGAGAAAAACATATATTTTCGTAAAATATTCAAATCCACGTGGCAAAATGTTTCCTAAATTCTGAAAATTTTGTAGATGACAAATTTTCTGGCTGAAACATTTTTTACGCCAAAATTTCGAAATCCCTCTAATTTTTGTGCATCTATATATCATCTCTGATCATCTGTCCAATTTAAAATGGCTCCGAGAATTTCGCAACTTCCTTTTTCCCACAAAAAAAAATTCCGAAGAAAGTGAAATTTTGTTTACTATCATAACTTATTGTGGCTTTTTGTAAAAAAAAACAACAAAAACAAAATGTTACACAGTATTTCAAAAAAATGCTATTTAAGGCGGACCCTTCTCCCAATACAGCATCCATCTGTCATCAGAAGAAAATATGGAAGAGCATCAGCAACGTATCAAAGCCTATCGATTTGTTGCGTATTCCGCAATCACTTTTTCATTGGTCGCAGTTCTTTCAGTTTGTGTAACTCTTCCACTTGTTTATAATTATGTGCATCATGTGAGAAAAGTAATGAATCAAGAGATTGAATTCTGTCAAGGAAGTGCAAAGGATATTTGGGAAGAAGTTCGAGCTATGAAACCATCTGCTAATCGAACCAAAAGACAAACATATACAGAAGGTGTTCATGGTGGAGGTGCACAATTAGAAAGTGGTGGTTGTGATGCTTGTTGTGTTCCGGGAGCTGCTGGACCTGCTGGTCAACCTGGTAAACCTGGTCGACCTGGAAATCCTGGAGCACCTGGAGCTCCTGGTAACCCTGGACACGCTGTTATCCAACCTTGCGATGTTGCCACCCCTCCACCTTGCAGACCATGTCCAACAGGACCTCCAGGACCTAGCGGACCGCCAGGACCTGCAGGAGATGCTGGAAGACCAGGAGGTCCAGGAGGACCAGGAAACGATGGAGGACCAGGGAACCCAGGACCAAAAGGACCACCTGGGCCACCAGGGCAACCTGGAAATCCAGGATCGCCAGGAAATCCTGGACAAGATGCTCAATCAACTCCAGCTTCTCCTGGATCACCAGGACCTTCTGGACAACCAGGGCCAAAAGGACCACCAGGACAACCAGGAGATCGTGGAAGAGATGGAACACCAGGAACACCTGGACCTAAAGGGCCAAATGGACAACCTGGACAACCAGGACAAAATGGAAATGATGGTCGACCTGGACAACCAGGAAATAGCGGAAAACAAGGAGAACGCGGTATTTGTCCAAAGTGAGTTATTCAAAACTGTCTAAATCGCAAAAATGTCATTCTTTTTCCAGATATTGCGCCATCGACGGAGGAGTTTTCTTCGAAGACGGATCTCGCCGCTAATTTTCTATTGTCAAAAAATAAATATTTCATTTTTTTTCATCGTGTATTTACTTAAATATTGAAAAAAAAAACACCTCAACAAATTTTGCATTGAAAACTACTTACGATCTTCGTCAGAGTTGGGTTCTTCAAAAGATGAGGCGTAACAATCTCCTCATTCATTTTAGTTTCACTTTTTCTGTAATTATTTTTTGAACCTAATTATTGTTGGAATGTTGTAAAAAAATAAATAAAAGAGAAAATTACATTAAATTATTTCACGTGTACGTGTGACGTGGAAGAGGTGGCGGCCAACGTATACCGCCTATATTTTCCATTATGTTTTTTCTCTCGAATAAAAATTGGTAAATTTCAGGCCACATTTCTATTATCATACAAACATCGATAAAATGGGAGATTCCTCAACGAAAAAGATTGAAGAGTGGAACAATGAGTAAGTTCAACACATTTTAGGTTATAGAAACTCGAGCAGAATATTGAACAACACTTTGGAATACATTTTCCAAATTATAGGCCATTATTCGAATATTTTGATTTTGAAAATGTGCTAGGTGCCAAAACTGATAAATACATTCGATTTTTTATATAAAAAATGTTTTTTTCAGTTGGAAATGCCAAATTCAATCAAAACATGAAAAGGCGTTGATTATTGATCAATTATTGGAGACATATGCAGATTTTCGAAAATCGAACGTTGGGTTTGGAGGCAATACATTGCAAATAAAGTTTGTGAGTTTTTTCTGGAAAAAATGATTGGGGACTCGGGTGAAATCAACTCCAATTTTCAAAGAAATTTTTGGAAAAACAATTTTTTTGCCACAGAAAAATTTTGTGAAATTGGCTTCGAAATCATTGAATCTCAACTAAATTGTTAAATTTTTGATCCGAATCACTACGAAAATAAAAAAAAACTAGAGGTTTTTTATTTTCTGAATGCATTGAGAATTGTTTGAAGCGAGTTTTAGTCGTTGTTTAGAGCCCATCTCAAGTAATTTTCCCCTTCTTTTCAGCAGAAATAGTCATTATACATATTTATTTTTACAGAAATTCAAGGTTGACTTCCATCGATTCACAACAGAAAACGTTGACTTTATGCATGCCGACGAACTGGATCTCAAAATTAGCCACATTAATCCCGCCCTCGGTGAAATGCAAATCAAAGACCACTTAAGTCAAAAGTGGATGATTCAAACAGTTAGAAAACTACGAAACTCAACCACTGCTTATGTAACTTTCGAATCAGCATTTGATCTTGTTGAAGCGAACAACTTTTTCAATCTGAACTATGTGTTCTTCTTTGGGTTAGTTTTTGGTGTTTTCAATTTTGTTTCAAAATCATGATTTAGAAAGTATATTCTTCCAACAAGATCCGAAATTGTGAAGGAAGAAGCAGTTTCAAATAATTCAATCGACTGCAAGTAAGTTTTTATGTTTACCTATAGCTTGTAAATTTATACTATCATTTTAATATTAAATAATTTTGTGATGTGAATTATTACAGAATCATTGTATTAGGCGATGAAGAGGAGGATTATAAAATGGAGATTGAAGTTTTGTTGAATTTGCACAAAGAAAAAGAATTGCGAAAACGAAAAATGTTGGAGAGCATCGAGCAGGAATATGATGCGAAATTGAAGGAATTGAATGAGCGCAGTGAAAAGAGAAAGAAAACTGGAGATCTGATGAGTAGTGAGTCATTATGGGGTGCAGGGTTGCTCAATTGGAATTGAGCCCAAATGGAAAATGTGAAAAATATAGGAATCACTTGAAACTCGAAGTCGAATTTTGGATCTCAAAATTCAAAAAAAAAAAAAATATCAGGAAATTTTTTGGTTCTTTCTTATAGTATTTTTTGGAAACTTTTGTGATTCATTATTGAATAGGGAACAAACACCACTTGAGAAGCCCTTTTCTAGCCGTCCTAACTTTTATTCGATTTATCGAAGTTGTAATTAATTGGAAATATTTTTTACAGAAATAGATAATAAACTTGAGAAGATGATAAAAGACGCGGAAGATGGTAAACTTCAAACGATGAGAAAAGACTCGGAAGAAGTGAAAAAATTCACAAAGGATATCATCGCCATTCTCAAAGTTTGACTGATTTTCTCAAATGTTTCTATTATTACTAGTGGTTCCTGGACATTCAAAAATGATTTTTCTTATTTTTTCTATGCATAATCTTTGTGATTATCATTAATTATCAATCTTATTATTTGTATTTGATTATTCGTTTTTTGAGCTTTTTATTTTATTTTTTGATGTCAAATAAACATAAAAGAAAAAAAAGAATAAAACAAACCTTGAATCAGGCCCCCTTTAACAGCTTTGAGTAAATAAAATAAATATTTCATTTTTCCACCAAAAAAAAAATCACGTTTTCACCAATTCCTGTCGCCATAACCGTATCCTTCCAACAATTTCGAACTATTTTGAGATTCTGAAAATTGAAAAAAATTCGGATTGAGGGATTTAGAATAGGAATCGGGGCATTTTCTAGGTTTTCTAGATCGCGGTCAAAATTGTACACTTTTTGAAATTTTAAAAATCAATGTACTTTAATTTTAAAAATCAATGTACCTTAGCTGAACCTAGAAAGGCTAGTTGTGAAGTGAGAAAACCTGATTGTATAGGACACACGCCTAGAGAAACACTCTGACTAAGGGAAGAGCCTTTAGAGCTACATGTCAAGTAGCTGAGCCTAGAAAACCTAGTTATCAAGGGCCTGGGTCTAGAGAACCTGATGCCAGATTCAAAAATCAAAATTCAAAATTTTCCCCACCCTCTCCCAAATAACTCAAAAAATTGCTCACCAACAAGTGGTCGATATGCTCCTCCGGCAGGCTGCAAATCCTGACTAAATCTCCTCGAATTCGCCGCAAACTGATCAGCACTTTGGCGGATTTGTTCGGCAGTTGGTGGGATAAAGCCAGCGTAGCCGTGTTGTCTTTCAATATCCGCACGTGTTTCCTCTTCGCGTAGTCTTTGTTCGGCAATTTTGATGGATTCCCGGAGAATTGCGCGGCGGACGAAGAGACGCGTATTCTGCGAGAAAAATAAATTGAAAACGAATATACTTGTGACGTAAAATAGGTGGAACGTGAACTTGTGACGTGGAATTTCAGAAGATTTTTTCCACGTTTTTCAAACTCATTTTTTGATTTTTGAAAAGCCAGAAATTGTGAATTGCTTATAAGGTAAGAATTTTGGGATTCTAAATATCACAAGGAAATTTTTTTTAGAAATTTTGAAAAAACCTACTCACCCTAACAAAATGACTTTTCTTAATAATCTGATCTACCGCTTCGGTCTCCGTAAATGTCAAAATACAAAAATGCAGTGGTCCTTCAGAATCGCTGACAAATTCCACATCAGTAATCTTCCCAAATCCACCAAAAGTAGTTTTCAATTCTTTCGCCGTCAATTTATCCAATGGAAAATACGAAACAAACAGTCTTTTCGACTCCAATTTATTTTCTCCAACCCCAAATTCATCATTTTTTGCTAGTTGTACAGTGATATCAAGTCCTTCTATCATATGATCTTCTTTTTCCATACATTTTTGAAATCCTTCCATAAATACAAATGTGATAAATGCGTAACCTGCACATGTTTTTCGTTTTTTCTTTATGAATCCTTCACCATCTCCTATTTTTTTGATATATTCTTCAAAACTTTTGAACTTTTTTTCATCATATTTTACCACATCTAATTCCTCATCCAAAACTTCATTGCTATCTAAAACTGGCTCATATCGTATATCACTTCTCTCCTCGATTTTCTCATTATCGGGCCCGAAATCCAGCGCCTAAACAACAATTTTTGAAAAAATTAAAATTACCTTTGAAATTAACTCACATTATATCTGGGCGGTGATGGTATAACACATTCATACAATTCACCAAATGTCTCAAAATATTTTCTCAACGAATCTTCTGTGATAAACGCTCCCAATCCGCTGACAAACAACCGTTTTACCATTGGAAGTTTGAAAAAAACAAAAAGAAAAACATCGCGTAAACCTACACACAAACAGCTCGCCACAGTAATCCGACAATTGTGTCTCGTAGCGATTTAACCTGCTAGGCAGGGAGCGGCTTCTCAGGCAAACGGGCCGACTAATCGGCGACCAACTGGCGATAAATCGCCTGTCAACTAGTAGTTGGTCGCACATTAGTCGGCGATTAATCGGCCTACATATAAATTAGCAGAAAAGTTGGTCGGCCGACAAAAAAAGTTGGTCGTCGATTAGTCGGCCCACAAAAAGTTAGTCGGCGATTAGTCGCCCCAGGAGAAGTTGGTCAACGATTAGTCGCTCCACGTAAAGTTAGTCACCGATTAGTCGGCTCGTTTGCCTGAGTTTTTTCATTTCGTTTTTTCGGTTTTTAGCAGAAAAAACGCGTATTTTGTGGTCTAAAGTGAGTTTAAAATGAGAAATAATTGATGAAATCATTTTCAGAATGGGGAAAAGGCTGAACGATGGTTCGGATGGAGATGAATCACAGGATTCGAATGATGCTGGTTTAAAACGTCGCAAAATCACATTCGAATCGGTTCGTCTTCCCGCCGTCAGTGGAGTGAATGATATAAATAATCGATCGATTAATTATAAAGCTGCTAAATTGGCGCAACAAGTCAAGTATAAAAATATGAAGATCGCCGAGTTAGAACGCGAAAATGAGCGATTAAAGAGGAGGCAAGAAACGGACGAGGAAAATTTCTATAAAATTCATCGAATAGGTCTAGATGTAAGTTTCTTTTTCTTGCTTTTAATTTAATTTAACATCAATACAAATATTGGTTTCAGATGGAATCACAAGTTTATAATGCAATGCGTTCCGAAATCGATTCACTTGTCAAACTTGAAGGAGAAGATGAGAATTTGGGAACAATGGATTTGTTGCAATTAGATTCAGAACAACTTGAGAAACAGTTTGGAAAACAAGGCGAAAGAATTATAAAATTTTTGCAACTTTTGACGCAGAGTCGACAGAAACGAGTGGAACGACAGAAAACTTTTAGCAAAAAATTAATTGCGTTTATTGAAAGTAAGCCAGGAATCTCATTAATAAATTTAATTTTGAATTTTTCAGATGATCCTTCAACATCTGCAGAGACTGCAACTAGCGAACTTGCGACTTTCAATCAACAAATCAGTGAAGAAAATGTGAAATTGATCGCCGAAAACACACGTCTTCAACACGAAAACACCCAAAATCGCTCAAAACTTCGTCAAAAACAAGACGAATGCGAAATTTTGCAGAATAAACAAGAGGAAATATTAAGAGAACTTGAAGATGCCAAATATGAAACGGATAAAATGATGAGAACTGCTAATAAATATGAGACAAGGTTGTGTAGTTTGGCAGTCGAATTGAAAACAGCGACGGAAAATATGGCAAGTGGAAAAGCTGCAGGAAATTCGCCGAGTTCTTCAGGACCACCGGCGAAGAAAATGAATGGAGGAGGAACGCATTCAAATGGATCGCCTGGAACGGTTATTGATACTGTTGAGGTAAGGATTTGGGGGATGTAGAACATGCTTGTGTCGGATACGCGGAAATTTCCCGGATTTTTTTAACCGGAAAATTCTTGATACGAAATATCATTCAAAACACAATTATTTACTAAATAAATCCATTAAAAAATTATAGAACTGGATTAAATCTGTTATAAAAGTTATTGAATTTTAAAATTTGAACCTGATTTTTCAAACGTTTTAGATTTAGTTAGAAATTCCCCCGTTTTGTGAACATATGAATTTCCTAGCCAAACGCTCCGATTTTTTGCAGGTTGAAACAATTCGAGTAGAACGAGATGAACAAGCTGAATTGGCAAATCGAAGATTACAAGAAATTGTGGATCTCAACACGAGAATTCAAAAATTATCATCGGAAATTGTGAAACTGAAGGCGATCAATGTAAGTTTTTTATAGCGATTTTCAGTCAGCTTTGAGAAATTCGTGGTTTTTTAGGAAAGTGCAATCTCATCGGAGCGAATTTACAACAGTGAAGAATACAAAAACCTGAAAGCTTATTATTCGTTGTGTGTTATGGAATTGGAAAAGAAAAGGTTGGTACACTTCTTAAATTCCAGGGAAAATTGATTTCAAAAATTCAAAAAACTCTGGTTTTCTCTATAAAAATGTTCAAATTTCATTCATTTTTTTTTTCAGTAAAACGTTGATTGATGTAATTGAAGAACGTGATCGTATGAGAATGGTTGTTCAAAATCGTTTGGCTGCCGATCGAGAAAATCAAGAAAAAGCTCAACTAAAAACGATGGAAGTGAATGAAAAGACGAGTAAAGAATATCAGTCACTGAAACACGATTATGATATATTACGCACTGAGTTTGAACAAACTATAGTGCAGAATAATCATTCTCTTGCGGTTAGTACTTTTGTGTTTTTTGGGAGGAAATTTGGATTTTTCGGAAAACTTGTTTATTTTTCTGGGGAATTTAATTTTTCTTCTCTCAAATTCCTAATTTTTTAGGATGCAAAACAACAAGATATTCGTCCAATCATGTCTTCTCTCAAAACCCAAAATCATGTTCTCAAACAAGAAGTTGCAAAATACAAGAAAAAGTGGCGAGATAGTGTAAATAACTATTCAAAAACCCAAAGAGAATATGATTTGTTGAAGAAGAAAATGGATAATAGTTTGGTTTTGGCATTAGATGAATTCAACAAAGATGACACATTACAATCACCGGAACAAAGTAATGAAGATGCTGAATGTAGTAGAAATGAGGTAACGGATTTGAAGAAAAAGGAGGAGGGATTTAGATTCATTAAAATATTGGGAAAAAAATTTAGAAAAAAAAAATTTTCAGAGGAAAATTTGTCTCCAATTTTTTCCTGAAAATCTAAAAATTATTTGAAAACTACAAATTAGAATTTTTTCGAAAGAACTTTTAAATGTTCTTTAAAAATTGACAATTTTCAGCTTATTCGATTGCGTTCCGAAAACGAAGTAATGCGGAAAGAAATGCGCGCCCACGGAAATGCGGATCGAGCCGAAAAACAACGTTTCTTCGAAAAAGAATTCCAATCAAATATGTCACAGAAATTAGCGGAACTCGAAAGACTTCGAAAAGATAATGAAAGATATGATAGTGTTGAAAAAGTATTAAGTGAAGAATTGGAAAGTATTGGACAAGCACTTGAAGAATTACAAGAACAAAATGGTTTATTAATTAGTGAAAAACGAGCAAAAGAGGATCAAGTATTGAAATTAATGAATGAACGCATTTTGGAAAGATCGAAAAATCAGAAGTTGCATGATGAAAATGTGAGTATTTTTTAAAACTAAAAATACAATCAAAATGTTTATCTCATCCATAAATTGTGATTTATAACATAACTTAAAGTTATAGTTGAAATGAAATTTTGGACCTGAAAATCAACTTTTTCAGCCAAAAAGTTTGATTTTTCATGAAAAAATTGACAATAATATCGTAATTTCTCATCAAAAAATGATTATTCTGCATGAAAATTTTAAACACAAAACTATTCTCAAAAATTCACTGAAAATATCAGCAAACTTTTGTTTAAAGTCTAAATTTTTGTCGCATACTAATTTTAATGAAACACCGAAATTTTAAACAAAATAAATGAATTTTTATCCAAAAAAATTAACTGTTTCAAAATGTTGTTAATTGTTTTGCAAGATCTTTTATAAATTTCAACCTTTTTTCTTCAAGACACATCAGCCACTGGAAAAAACAGATTTCCCGCATTTATTTTCAAATGACAAAAACAGCATGTGCGCTCTATTGCTTCGTTGTGTGCAAACTCTCTCGAAAATCCCGTCGGCTGAGCGATTTTAAAAACAATTATTTTGTTTTTTTCACTTTTGCCAGACTCAAAATTTTTCTTGATTTTTATGAATTCCGATTACTTGAAAGGTGTTATGAAAGAATAACAAACTCATTTTCTGTTCATTTCTAGTGGATTGTGTGTCTTTCAAGTTTTGCACGATCACTATGACGTAGCAATTACAAAAATCAATCAATTAATTAATCAAATCAATGTTTCTTCTTCTTGCAGAAAACTCTAATCAAAATGCGATCAGCTGAAGAGGCCACAAATACTCTGCTAAATTATGAGCTGAAAACATTGAGATCTGAAATTGAGGCGCATACGAAAAATTGGGAATTTAAAACAATGGAGAATTCGTGAGTTTTTTTGAGTTGAAGATTGAAATTGAATATTTTTACTGTTTCAAAAAAGGAATTTTTGATATTGTTTTTGTGTATTTCAGTAAAACCTTCTTAATTAAAGAATAAAAAACAATCTTCATTTTCTGTGAAATATTTTTTCACTGTTTCAAAAAAAATTACCTTTTTAAGAATTTTGGTTGGTTTTTTCGGCTCCAAAACCTTTACAATTTTACCTCGAAAAGGTCCCTAATCCGTTTTTTTTTCTTCAGAAAAATGACAATTGCACTGGAAAACAATCGAAAAAAGTTGCAAGATCTCGGAAATTCTCGCGATGATTTACAAATTCGCTACGAAAAACACGAATCACAATTGAAGCATATTCAGGAATTGTTGAGCCAAAAAGCATCACAATTGGAAGCGATTTCGCATAAGAAAAATCGATTGGAAGAGGAGTCAAATTTGTTGAGGTTAGGAAGAGAATTGAAAAAAAAATTATATGAAATCATTTAGTTTTGAAAATATTTTTTTCAATTTTCAGCTCGAAATTTTATAAATCTACTATCTACTAATTGGGAAAATTTTTTTGGCAATAGTGTGTCCGGGTCCCGTTCTCCAAACTGTGTGCATAAAAATTGATGATCAAAAAAAAGAAAAAGTTTCTAAATGTTGGCAGCTCGGTGCGCATCCTATTCATTCTTTCTCAAAATGTATGTGAGTGCGCGGAGAGTGAAAAGTTTGAAAATCTCAATGTATTTTCCGCATTTAAAATGTGTCGCTCGACTTTTCTCAATTTCCAGAAGACCATTTTTGATGGGACCTTCACCATTAAATTCCAAATTCTTTCCCATCGAGGCGCTAATATTCGATTTTTCAAAAAATGCGCGAGTTTTCACGTGAAAATTCAAAACTTTTTCATGTAAAAAAGAATGATCACGTTTTTATTCCAAAAAAATTAAAGGACACGTTTCTTATCTGATCTTTCTGTTTTCTGAAAAAAGTGAACAATTTCTGGGCATTTCTCAATGTTTCTCTTTCCCTAACCGGAAAATTAATCAGTAAAACGTAAATCAAACTACTGTAGATGGCGTTAGACAGCGAAGCCCTTCTAGTTATAGATAATAATTAAATTTTTAATTTCGGACAAAATATTCAATAAAATTTAAAAATCTAATTTTCAAACCATATTTTTGCAGAAAAAAATACGAACGAATCCAAAAATCGGAAAAATACGGTGGAAGTACAGACGCGGTTTTGGTTGAAGAAAATCGACAACTCAAAGAAATTCTAACATGTCCGTCGTGTAAAACAAAACCAAAAGATTGTATTATGATCAAATGTCATCATTTCTTTTGTGAATCGTGTATTAAAACCAGGTTAGTTTGGGAAGTGGATTTATGGGTCAAAATTGAAATTTGCTTTAAAAAATATTTGACTGTTTCACGAAATTGATGAATTTTGATAAACATATTCAAATACTAAAATAAATAGTTGGATTTTCTGTTAAATTTTTTTCACTGTTTCAAAAACAATAAGATTTTTGGTTTTTTCGATATGAAAAAAATCTTCTTAACAGCCAAAATGAATAATAATTTTTATTTTTTGAATAAGTTAACATTTTTCACTGTTTCAAAAAACGAATTAATTTAGAAATGTTCGATTCCAACAAATAACACATTATTTACTATTGTGGATTTTAAACCAAATTCAAAGTTTCAATATTTTTCAGATACGACACGCGTCAACGAAAATGTCCAAAATGTAATAGCGGTTTTGGCGCCAACGATTTTCATCGAGTATTTTTCTAGTTTCTTTCTTCGTTTTCCTCCTCGCAAATCTCATTCCCAAAATTCCCAGCCCAATCCAATACAAAAAACACCATCCAATCTCACCCATGTTTTTTTTTTCGTTTTCGTTCTCATTCTTATGTTTTTGTTCATTAATTCATCCTGTATCCTATTATATATATTTATTTATGTTTTTTTTTCTTTTTCTTCTGTTTATTATTTTTTCTTCTTGTTTTAGGAATCCCCCGTTTCCCCCCTCTTTTCTATACTGGTTTTTTTCTCGGAAAATTAATATTTTTTTGGAAATTTATATCCAATTGGAGAAAACTGTTGGCAAATTAAGTATAATAATTTGAATAATGAATTTTATTAGAAATTTGACTAAACTTTATAACTCGTCGTGATTTTCTGTTTGACTGCCACCACCGCCTTGCATAAATGGACAACCACCGGATGGATTTGAAGGAATTGGAGAAGGTTTCGAGAATGGCTGAAAAATTGAAGGATTTTTTGGGTAAGGTTTTGAGAAATTTGGATTTTTGAAGAATTTTGAAACAAAATTTGAAAAAAAATCATAATTTTCAGCCAAATTGAATTGTTGACTTACATCTTTGTCCAAAAACAGTGTATGATCTGGTAGAACAATAGTTTCCTCAAATCCAAATATTTCATTCACTTTTTCAACTTGTAAATATCTCAAAGGATGTGCTTCTTTTGTTGATAAAACTTCTGCAAAAATTGAATTTTTTTTAGATTTCCAGAAATAACCCACTTTCAGCTTCAGCTTCCGCTTTATTTTGTATCAATTTCAAAAGATGATCTGGACATCTTGCAATTTTTGAATCAATAAAATGAACTCGATCCTTATTCAAAATTACAATTCCATCAGATTCATCCGAAATTCCCAAATTTTCAAATACTTTCTTTTTGTCTTCTTTTTCTTTCTTCAAAAATACAAAATTATGTGTTTTTCTCAATTCTTTTCTTCCAGCCAATTTCTCAAAATTTCCATCAATTTTCGCTCCAAAATTCAAAAGAATTGTTCGTTTTTGGCGTAACAGCAAATCAGTTGTGAATCCTTGAGATATATCGAAAATTGTTGGAAGTGTTGATTTTGTTATGAAATCCATGATTGAAGCTGGATCGAAACGACCCGAATATGATTGTCGTTTTTGTTTTTCCGAAGGACGGTAGGTTGAGATTGTTGGGTCTTGACTGGAAAAATGAAAAGGAGAGTTTTGGAGCGGGAAAATTTGAAAGATTTGTGATTTTTTAATTTAAAATTTGGAAATTTTCTAGAATTTGTACAGAGGGAAAGTTTCGAATTTCTGCCACATGGATTTTCTGACCTCATAGTTTAATTTGAGAAAAATCCATGTGGCAATAAAAGCAAAAGTTTCCAGAATCTCTTTATTAAACGTTTCAGACGAAAAACCTGAAAATTTTCCACGTGGCAAAAATTGTATTTCTTTTTCCTGAGAAAAACGCTCGACAAAATAACTCACTCAACAAAAGCATGTGCCAAATAATATTTTCCCGCCAATTTTTCGGCGGCGATTCGAAAATGTTTATATTCAGCATCTTCACTGCTCCTAAATACACCAATCGTCACCGCATTTCGTTTTTTCGCGCGCCAAAATCCTTTTTTCGTTTCAACAATGTCTTCAACTTCTACAGTAGGCTCATTGAGAATCCTGCCAAAATATAAAAATCAATAATTTTGTCGGGAGTGCTGTAAAGTGCTTACAATTCAACCCATTGCTCATAATATATCAAATCTCCAATATTTGCAGTTTTTCCAATATTTATACCATTTTTATAAGCGACTACGGTATTGTAATCATCCGAATTCAAACCATTACAAAAATCGGGAGATTCTTGGCATGCCACGTGACAAAAGAGTACTGTAGATGGGAATGATGACGTGGAAGATGCGGCAAATTTCGACCAAAGATTGAAAGTGTGAAGGGAAACCATGCGATCTACAAAAATCAATATTTTTGACAACAAAAAATATTTTTCGCGTGAACTTTTAATCGAACCAGAAATTTGGAAAAGGGTCAACAAAAGGGTTGGGTCATTTTTCGACGTCAACATGTCTGAAAACCAACTCGAAAATAATGAAACAAAAAATACTAGCGCAAATCCTACGGTAGGTTACTGTATCCTTAGTTTAGACTCGATTTACTGTTTTTGCAGGCGACAAAGTTTCCATTGTTGTCGGCGGCGTTGCTGAATCAGGATGAGAAAATATTGAGAGACACGGCATTTGGAAAATATAAAAATGTGATTTGTGTTGTTTGCAATGAATGGATATGTGCCAGAAATCGGTAAGCTCACACCAGGTCTCGAACCCTTGACCCTTCACTCCAAAAATAAACACGCTAACCGACTGCACCATTTTGCAGAAAAAACCACATCGAATCGCATTTGAACTATCGCCCATTTCATTGTTCGCATTGCGATTTTTCATCGCGACGCGATATTTTTATGCGACAACATATCAAATCAAAACATTATGGATTGGAAGGAATCGTTGTTTGTTTGAATATTCCTGATGTGGCAATTGAAAATGAGTGAGTCTTTGATTTGAAAATTTGAAGAAAACGTTTATTGTTCGATGGAGCGCGTTTGCAGAAAATATGTATTTTCGGTGCGGAAATGATCAATCACGTGAATGGACACGTTTGGATTGAAGAAAAATATCCACGTGGATTAGGCAGATTTTCATCAAGACATTTTTGATGTTTTGGCCTCAAATTCACGTGGCACAGTTATCAAAGCACGAACTTTCCTGAAAAATTATCGTTCATCTCAAAATGTTCCTGATTTTTGCAGAGTAGAACGCCTCGCTCAAGACTGCCTAACCTCGACCCAAAAATCGGCTCTTCAAATTCTCGAATCCGGAACTCGAAATCGATCAATAACTCAAGCTGTTATATCAAATCGTCCAATTTTAGTTATCGAATCGGTTCGAAAAATTCGACCAATTGTGAAGAATCGAACAAGACAAAAACGGACAAAACAATTAAATTTGGATAAGATTTTCAAAATTTCACAAATACCCTCAAATTCAACTTCATCTACTAGTTAGAAAAATTTACAAATAAACTTGTTTTTTCTTTGAAATTTTAAATTTTAATTTCGTTGAATGCGTTGCGGTCATGCGCTGCGGTCACCCTAAAGAACTCACTTTTATTCCAAAAAAGCACAAAAACATGCTCGAATTTCTCTAAAACCTCATCGAATTCTGCCGAATTTTTCAGTTTTCTCAAAACTTCCGAATCAGTTTTCAAATTGGCGCCAGTTCGAACTTCGAGCAATGCTGGTTCGATCAAATTCAGCTCATTTGGCCCGAATTTTTCAAGAGATAGTGGGATTTTTGGTGGCGAGGACAGCGACTGAAAATTTTTTTTTGAAAAAAATGTATAAGTTTTCAAAAATTACCTCCAATTCCTTGCTTGACAATGCTCGAATATATCCAACTTCTTTTTCAGCTTCTGGCGATGCAAATGCAATCAAAGAATTCGGAGAATGTCGAGATAATGCGCTAAAAAATAACTAGAAAATGTTACAGTACTCTTTTCACAGATTACTGTATTTAATACTAACTCTAAAATCGCCATTTCAATAGTTCCATCATTTTTCTCATTATTTTTTCGCTCAAAATTATAAACCACTGCTCCATTTTTTGCATCTTCCACCAGAAAATAGTTCCATGATCCGGAATTTGGAAATTCTTGACATCGAAAATGATCGGATTGAGAATTACATTCGATCTACAAATCGATGAAATTTTGTCACGAAAAAATAATTGAAACTCACATTTTCATTTTCCAAAGTGAGTCGTGCGGATTTTCCCAATCTTTCTCGAATTTGACGCAGAACTTGGATCACACGGTTGGAGAACGTTTTTTCGAGTTCTGAAGAAAAATTGGGATTTTTCAGAGGTTAAAAATAGTGGCATAAATTATTGCTCAAGTTTCAGAAAATTTTAATTCAATTTTTAAAAAAAAATTTGGGACAACCTTGAGAAAATGAAAAATTCAGAAATTTTTAGGCTAATCAAAAATTGAGGCTTCTCAAGAATCTGGGCATATGTTTTAGGCTCATTTTAGGTCTGTCTGATAAAATCCACGTGGTATTTTCAGCCCCCCTTCCCCCATTTCCCGAAATCTCACCATTATGTGATCGATAAACATAAGTCGACTGAATAAAATGTGGTTCTGGCAAAATACCAGGCGCCGCTCCAGCCTCATCCCAATCCCAACCTTGATCGCCTTCTGGTAAATTTCCGGGAGGACTTGGTCCCGCTGGGGGACCAACTTTTACGCCCATCATGTGTGGGCAATGTGATCTGGAACATTTTTTTTCTGAAAATCGATCTCAGAAGCTTCCAGCAAAAATTATGACGCCAAATTTTTTCAAAATAAAAAAAATACCTGACATTTGCCACTAGAAATACTATGAATACTAGAAAACTTGAAATAATCATCGAAAGTTTGTTTTTTGGAATAAAAATATTTTTTATTATAAGAAAATACAAGAAAATTTGGGAAGAAGTAGGTCAATTGAGAGATTGAGAGACGCAGAGAAAAACAGTGGCCTTGGAGAGATTTGTATTGTAAGGAAAAAAGATGGAAAAAATAGCTGGAATCGATTTTGAGGCGAGATATTGTTTTATCTTTGAAGATTTTTTGCTTTTCACAAATCAAAAAAAAAATCGCCGAATAAAACTACTATTTTTTTTTGTTGAGCTTATTCAGCGATTTAGATCTCATTGTCACACAAATTTTGATTCGGCAAATGTCAAAAAAAAAGATATCTCCTTATTTTTTTTTAACTAGTGGGCCCTGTGCAGAAAGTGTTATTGAGCGTATCCCTTTGAATCTGATGAATTTACTTTATTGCAGAACAATCTTAAGAGTTCCCGAGCTAAAATCCCATATAAAACGAATCTATAGATTCGTTTTACTTCAAATGTCTGCGGTTCCTTAGCCAATTAATAACTGTTTAGGTTACAAAAACTCAATCCGGGTCCCCAATATCCCGATTTCCGGGTTCCCAATGAAAAAAAAAAGAAAATTGAAATGAGTGTACAACAGAGCGAATTTGCTGCACTTGGCAAGTCGCCAGTGTGCACGGTTGCGTCATGGTGTTAGTGTGGAGGTGTTTGCGGTTTTGGGAGAGAATTTATTTTTTGCGTTTTTTTAAAGGGAAAAATTTTTCCAACCATTTTCGTGGTGATATTTTTTCATTTTTTTGGAAAATAATAAGGCTGTAAATAGTTCCCACGAACACACTTTTCATGAGAAAATACACACAAAAAATAGTGTGTTCGTGTATTATTTTTTCAATTTATTCCGGCACCCGAACACCCTGTTTTTACAGCCCCAATGAAATAAGAAAACATTGTTTGAAACTTTCTAATTTTGTTTGTCAAAAATCATTTTTGAATAATAATTTCAAAAAATTGAATCACTACACTCCCTCCCGCCCTAAATCTCTTAAGATCCCTTATACTTCCGGACCAAAAACATTTATGATCCTAAAAATAGTTATTCCAAAAACTTAATCTTGAAATGAAAAAAACTATTAAAAAACATTTGACGTGTAAATGTTAAGTATAGATAAGATCAGTGACCTAAACTAGTTGTGACCTCAAAAATCACGCTATAAAAGTCCAGTGGATTGCAATGAGTTCAATCATAATCACATTCACTTTCTTCTGAACTGCTGACTGCTGATAAAAACATTCGGAAAATGCGATTTGGACTTGTTGCGATTGTATTGCTTAGCATTTGCTGTGCAAAAATATTGGCTGCAAATCCTGTGTGTAAAGGACCATCGAAGATTGGTAACATTCCGGATTTACCAAGAATTATTCTGTTCATGGTAGGATTCAAGGATCCAGCAAACAACGAGGTAAGCATACATCTTTGAAATAGGTAATAATAATTGTTTTTATTTGCAGAAGATGAAAACTTTTAAAGCTATCGAATATATGTTGTGTTCTATTCCCAGTGATTCAGAATTGACCGTAATATTTTCCTATTATCCAACAGACGGTGCCGAAGGTGTTTCTGGAGAATACGGTGTGAATTCTCGTCTCTTCATGAAAGGTAATTTTGATTATTTCAGTAAAGTTTCATAATTTAGATTTTCAGATAAAACTCATCCACTTGATTGTGAGCATCTTAAAAACAATTTGAAGAGCGTCAAGGATTTAGGTCGAAAGAGATTCGATTTCATTTTTAACATTGAAGATAATACTGAATGCGATCTCCATCAACTATTTTTAGATAGAAAACTGGACAAAAGCATATTCAGATTTCATGGAATTCGAATTAATGGAGCTGGTAAACAAGGTGATTTCAATTCTTTCATCGCTAGAGTCGGCGATGAAAACAAATATGATGAGGATTTGGCAAAAAAAGCTGACCGTTTCATCAAACATGTTATTGATGGAACAAAACCAAGCGATGAGGAGTTAGCTGAACAATTGAAGGAGTTAAAACCTCAACAAACCAACAACAACAACTCAACAACTCAAAAACTCAACATCACACAATTCAGTGCCATTTTTGCAATTGCCTTTTTTGTCATCGCCTCAATTTTTTGAAATTCTGATCTGAAGGATCATATACTTGTGAGATAAAATGAATTTATTCCATTCTGAGATTTTGTTGTTTTTCGATTGCGCCAAGACATTTTTCTGAAACGAGACCAATTGGATTTTTGAAAAAAAACATTTTCGAAATCATAAATAGTCTCATATAACAAATTCTGGTGCAATGCGAATTTTCTAAAAATTGAGAATTTTTTTCAAGAAATGTTTTTAGTGGTGACGTTTCCTTGTGAGGCCAGAGTTTGAATATGTTTGGAATCGGACGAAAGTGACTTAATAGGAATAACCAAAAAGAAATCAGACGAGGTCCAATTTTTAAAGAAAAACCCGAAGCGGATTTATTACAGTAACGCGAAATGCACAAGATTTTCAAAATGTTCATTCATTTCTCGAATCGGGAAACTCCATCCTTATGTGCAATTTCGCGTTTCCCGTCGTTTTTTTCAGCAAAATTTCGCAAGTTTTATGAATTAACCTGGCCAAAGAATGGAATTCGGGCTGTTCGGGTTCGATGGATTTCGGAGAGAACTCTTCTTGCACAACGAATGCGCTTGTTGGTTTTTCCGAAGCCGAAAACACGTTGACACGGTTCTGAAATTGTTTTTGATGTGTTAGCAATTGATAATTCTGCATAAAAATCAATAACTCACTGGTTTTTTCTTGACATTCAACAATTCTGCACCATATGCTTCATCACTTGCATCCCATTCTTTATCCGAACACGGTGTTAATGCTTCGCCACGTGGCGCTGAAAAAAATTATGAAGAAATTGACACCAAGAACTATGAATACCTCGAGATTTCTTGAAAATTTTATCGCTCTCAGAATTTTCCGACATTTATGAATAAGAAATGAGCAAAATTTACAGAATTTTATAATTTTCTGTTGGGAATTGAAATGTCACGTATGATACGTGGCTCAATAAATTTGGTTGATTCATTTTCAATAAAAATTGTGCAAAAAATGTGGAATCTAGGATGTTCAAGGAAAAAAACAATATATTTTCTGCTAAAAATGGAAAGATGATCATGTTTGGTGAGTTTTTTGCAAAAAAAAATCCAAAAAAATTTTTATTCGCTGAAAATGGGCTGAAATTAGGATTTTATTCGAAAAAAAAAAAAGAAAAACAACTACCGTAGTTTTTCAAAGGAACATACATTTCCAATGTGTGGTCTTGCAACATACTGCAAACACCGCGACATGAAACTGCACAGAATTGTATTTTAAACTTTTTTTTCTTGTGAAAAACTTTCTTTTTCGCGTTCTTTTCCCACATAAGAAAAGAAAAGAACAAAACAAAGCAATGAATAAGATTGCACTTTTCTCGTTGTTTAAACCCTGAATTTTTCTTTCACCAATATATTTTTTTTTCGAATCCATAGATATTTCCAAAAAGAGTATTCAATTGAAAATAAAGGGTCTCTTGAGAAATGTGGAAAGAAAGGTGTTGTTTATTTATTCCCACTTCTCAACTCACGCCTTTTTGATTTGACACAAAAATATTCTTCTTCTTCTTCGCTTTGTTGAAGTAAGTTACCGTAACTCTCTAAGATTTCTCTCAAAACCTTTTGCTTTTTTTGTTGAGAAAAAACTTTGCGAAATAAACATAAACGGTTATATAATAATAAATATAATTGCGTTCACTTCATCAAATTAAATTCTACTATACTTTTCCATAATTTTGACCGGTTTGTCACGCAACATTTCATTTTTCTCCAGATTTTTGACCTAACATTTTTTGAATTTTCCCCCAATTTTTCAGCCGGCCGATCACATCAAAAAAAAGTTCAAAAACACTTCAAACAATAGAATCTCTCCTATAATTATACCTTCTCTTTTTTTCGTGTCATTTCTACCGTATTGTAAATTAGTAACAAGTATATTATAATAGATATTACTGTAGAGAAGAGGAGATTAGCTAAGGGAAGAATACAAGTAGAGAGAAGAAGAAAGGAAAAATGTGCACTCGACCTGAAATATATTCATATTGTATTATTTAGGTTTTTGTTACAAATGAGCTAGACAAGATTTTTGAATTTGAGATTTTTGGAAATAAGGTGTTTTAGGATTACTGTAGATGTTTGGACTCAGATAAATGTGGGATACTGTAGGTTTACTATAGAATTTTGATCTAAAACTATCAGAGACGTGGATTTCGAATTGTTTGCAGATTACTATAGACTTTCGACATTTTATTCCAAAACCTTACTGTAGATTAGTGGAAATTCTCAGATTTTTCAACATTTTCTGTAAAACTCTAAAAGTAGACTCCAAACGTTTTGGCTGTGAATTTTACCTGATCTACTAGATCTCTTTGATCCACCAAACTTGCTGGCATTTTTGTTCTTTTTTCCCTCTCCCAAGAAAAGTTCCAATTTTTGAAAACTGCCAAGAATTCTTCAAGAAAAGTAGTGTGTTTTTGACATATCTTCTTAATTATCTATTCGTTTTTCTTCTTCTTTTCAATAATTTTTCCTCAATTTTCCTTCTTTTTCTCATCCATAATCATCATATTTTCTTTAGAAAAATAATAAAATAAAGTCAAAATTTCGGCTTTTCATTTGAGGAATTTGTGTGCTTGCTCAGCTCAGCTCATTTCGATATGTTAGCACATCTGTCTTCTTCTTCTTCTTTCTATGCTCAGAAAAAAGTATTTTCTTCTCCTTTTTTGGATGACTTATTCTAAGTGCAGTTAATAATTTATTTACTTTTATTTAGAAGGAAAGGCTCCCAACTCAAATATTCTTAGAGAATTCAATTTTGATGGATTACTGTAGGTTTTGAGGCTGCAAGATGAAGATGATCTTGAACATTTTGAGTTTTGAAAGGCTACTGTAGAATAAGGTCTGAATTTCACCCCCTCGTGTTCCCTAAAAATCTCGATCCTTTTTCCGCAAAAATCAAACAATAACATAAATAACAGTAAAAATAATAATAATAATAATAAACAGGTACTATAATTAGAGAGAGCTAACGCCAAACACAAACAATACCAATAATTTCCAACCTTGACAGAAATTACCGTAACCTACCAATTACTGTACCTCTCCTACCTTTTCTCGCGCCTTTTCCCCGCTTCTTTATAATCACGTTTTGTGCGTTTCCCGATTCTGTTTGTTTTTGAAGAAAAAGAAGAAGAATTCTGAAGAAGAAAAAGGAAAAGGTTCTTGTTGAATAATTGAGCCGAAAAAGGTATTCAAATGGAAAAATGGGGCGAATACCAAAAGATGTTATTATTATTTTTGTTGTTTTCCAAAAATTTGGAAAAATTCTGAGTTTTGAGTCCAAAAGTTCCTAGGGATTCTTTGAATACGGTAGTTGAAAACATAATCTTAGGATTACTGTAGCTAAGTATTTCTGAAGTTACAACAGAAAAATCAATATTTTTCTTGAAATTCCAGGTTACTGTAGATTAGATTTATATTCTCAATTTGTAGATCAAAATTTCCCTAAAAAGTCTGTGTACTGTAGAAATCTCTAGCCAAAACCAGGGTTACTGTAGATGACCAAAAATCTACGTGGCTTCAGTTTTGCCATTAGGAAAGTCTAGAAATGATATTTGATTTCTTGAAAACCTCCAGATTTTCTGAAAAAAAATGATTTTTTATTCTCTCGTCGTTCTCTCAAAACCGTTCCCCTCATTATTTTTTGTACCTTCCAAAAATCTGTCAAAACCCGAAACCTGCAGTAGCAGCACATTGTTCTGTGTTCGGCTAACACATGTATAATTAGAGAGAATGAGGGGCGAATAAAGGCATGCGCGCAAAATTACTGTCAATAAAAAACATAGCGGCGGTCAAATTTCATTTATTTAGGAAACGGTCCCAGCCAGGAAAATAAGATTTTTCAAAAAAAAAAAAACCTTCCTTCTAAAATCTAAGGCTTCTCAAGCACCTGCTGATGATGTCTAAATATAAAAATAGAAAAGAGTTCTTAGATTTTGACCCCCCTAATTATAAGCTTTTCTTTTTCCACAACCAGAAAATATTTTAGTTTCATTTTCCCCGGGTTTTATAATTTTATGATTATTATTATTATTATAAGTATAAGTATAATACGTTTTCAATTTCCTTTCTTTTTCTCCTCAAATATTTTCTGAGGAAATTGAGAGGAAATTGAAACACACCTTAGGTTTGTCACCACAGCTACTCATAGAAGACCTTAGGCGCAAACTATTCTTTTAATTTCCGGTGATTGACAGGTTTTTTTGAGATTAAGCTGATGTGCTGAAAATAGTTTGGAAACATTTCGAGTTTTGTAGATCAGAACTTTGAACACCAATTTTGTAAAGGTTCTCAAATTATTTTCATCGCAAAACTTCAATTTTTTTAAACAGTAAAACCTTAGGCTCAGGATAATAAGCAAGAAATTTGAAAACTTTAAGAAGGACCTAAAAGTTCTGAGAAGTTTTTGATGAAAAAACTTAATTTTCAAAACTCTAGCTTCTGTGGGCTCTTAACTCCTCTTGTGAATACAGTTTTTTCATAAATTAATTTGTGTTCCCTAACTGTTTTTAGTAAAGCGCAAAGTCAGGCACTACTTTTGAAGTTAGGTTAAGCTTAGCATAAGTTAGGTTCAGACTTGTAAGAATCTTAACTCTTAACTCGCTTTAGGTATCCCCTTATTCATTAATTTGAATATCTTATGAGTTTCTAAACCATTAGAAATCTTCCAGAAGCTTTAGGTATCTTATTTTCATACATCTGGGAAATATCCCTAGCTCCCTTAACTAACCTTACTTTTCCATTCCTCAATTATTTTTTCCCCTCATTTTCCTTCCAAACTCAAATTATTCAAACAATCAGTGCATGTCAATCGAGTCATCAGAAAAACCCACCAAGTTCCAATTTTCCCCTCTCCAATTTTATATAACCGATTAAAATTCTCCTCTCTCTCTCTTCTAACTACAACTTGAGAGAGCGCAGAGAAAACGAGATGAAAATACTGTAGATTACATGGCGATTATTATTATTATTATTTTATTGCGCACTTAGATTACCTATCCAACAGCAAAAAAAAAGAGAAAACTTTTTCCGCTATAATCTAAGGGGGGATTACTGTAGGCCGGATAATGATGTGATTATTAATGGGTTTGAAATTGAGAGAATAGGTACTACTGTAGATGCAGATTTATGAGAGAAGGAAAGGATTAGCACAATATCCACAGGACGACGCGAGGTGTGTGCGCTCTCTGGTTGTCTGCGTCTCTACAGCAAACAACACTCTCTCATTTTTTTTTTCAATTTTTTTGAATTTTTTCGAAATTTTTCAAAAAATTCGAGAAATTCACGGGAACAATGGTATATGAGCTAGTAGAGGAGGATGAAAGGAAGACAGAGAAATAACATTTAGTTCCATTTTTGAAATTTTGAAGGCTATAAAATCGAAAGAAAAACTTATGTGTTTTTTATGAAGAATTTTAGCTGAAATTTCACGAAATTTTTGGTAAATTTACTTCTAGATGCCAGGAATTACGTGAATCAAAGTATACCAGTTTATGTGATGCTAGGAATAAGAAGTTTCGAGCCTAAAAATTCTTGCAATCAGCAAAACACGTTTATTTGAGCGTTTTTTAATTTAAAAAATAAGAAATACCTGAATTCAAGTGTGAAAAACTGAAAAATCTAAATGATAAAGTTTTATGTAACAAAAAACGAACTATCTAAATAAATATTCATTAATAAATAATAGAAAGTCGTGTCTTACAAAAACATTTTTGAAAAACCGGCTGAAAATTAACATCAGCAGAAAGGCAATATGAAAATATACAACAAAAAGATTGTCAGGATTCGAATGAACTTTTTAGCTGAGTTATAGATCCGAATATCACAAATCGAT